TAATCAGAGACACAGTCGAAAGGAGCGGAGACACAGTCGAAAGGAGCGGAGACACAGACGAAAGGGGCGGAGACACAGTCGAAAGGAGGGAAACAAAGTCGAAAGGGGCTGAGACACTGTCGAAAGGGGCGGAGACACAGTCGAAAGGAGCGGAGACACAGTCGAAATGAGCGGAGACACAGTCGAAAGGAGCGGAGACACAGTAGAAAGGGGCGGAGACACAGTCGAAAGGAGCGGAGACACAGTCGAAAGGGGCGGAGACACAGTCGAAAGGAGGGAGACAAAGTCGAAAGGGGCTGAGACACTGTCGAAAGGGGCGGAGACACAGTCGGAAGGGGCGGAGACACAGGCGAAAGGGGCGGAGAAACAGTCGAAAGGGGCGAAGACACAGTCGAAAGTAGCGGAGACACAGTCCAAATGAGCGGAGACACAGTGGAAAGGTGCGGAGACACAGTCGGAAGGGGCGGAGACACGGTCGAAAGGGGCTGAGACACTGCCGAAAGGGGCGGAGACCCAGTCGAAAGGAGCGAAGACACAGTCGAAAGGTGCGGAGACACAGTCGCAAGGGGCGGAGACACTGTCGAAATGAGCGGAGACACAGGGGAAAGGGGCGGAGACCCAGTCGAAAGGAGCGAAGACACAGTCGAAAGGAGGGGGACAAAGTCGAAAGGAGCGGAGACTCAGTCGAAAGGAGCGGAGACTCAGTCGAAAGGAGCGGAGGCACAGTCGAAAGGGGCAGAGACACAGTCGAAAGTAGCGGAGACACAGTCCAAATGAGCGGAGACACAGGCGAAATGAGCGGAGACACAGGCGAAATGAGCGGAGACACAGGGGAAAGGGGCGGAGACCCAGTCGAAAGGAGCGGAGACTCAGTCGAAAGGAGCGAAGACACAGTCGAAAGTAGCGGAGACACAGTCCAAAGGAGCGGAGACAGGCGAAAGGGGCGTAGACACAGACGAAAGGGGCGGAGATACAGTCGAAAGGAGCGAAGACACAGTCGAAAGGAGCAGAGACACAGTCGAAAGTAACGGAGACACAGTCGAGAGGGGCGGAGACACAGGCGAAATGAGCGGAGACACAGTCGAAAGGGGCGGAGACACAGTCGAAAGGAGCGGAGACACGAGTTTTTGCGGAAGTTGAATGAGTATAAATCGGTCAAGATTCACTGTATGTCGCTACAGTTGAATGATTAATTGACAGTAATACAGGCTTAAGATTATTGAAGTGTACCCTGAACGACAATAGAAATGAATATATTATTATTCTATATGATCCAAACACAAAAATTCCGAAAACCGCATTAAAATCGGTCATCCCGATACCGAGATATCAACGTGTAAAATGTAGGATTTTCACCTGTCCTTCTACTGATGTGGCCCCTATCGGCTGTGACGTCACAAGTTAAACGCTTGCAGCCATCACCAAACAGCGTCAGATAGCGATTTTAGTTTTTTAGTTTTTAGGAATCGGATTATGCTGAAGACATATAAAATTTGCCAGAATTTCCAGACAGTGAGTTTAATTGAAACCAAACTGACGACTCTGAATACGGTAACATAGACTGGTAGCATTGCGTCCTGATTCTAAGCGCTGATGAGAATTATTTTTTCTCAAATGAACGAGTTTGTGGGAAATTAAACAGAAATAGTCTCAATCTTGTCGATCAAAGATATTTTAGCTGGAGTGTCAGTTTGCAATAAGTTTCTTTACACAGAGACGTATATACTTTATATGTCTCTGCTCTACAGTAGAAACCTATCCAATCATGTCGTCATTGAACAGCACAACATCGTGACCAGTTTCTGTGCCTGAATTTTATCTTGCTCAGTTAAATATACTGTGGTACATCTACAGTTCAAAAATACGGAAATATATCAGTGAAAAATGTTCACAAAATAACTTCAGCGTTGGTGTCTCCTGTTATTAAATGCCAATATTATTAGTAAGGACAAATCGACGACACTGTGTCTTCCTTATGTTAGGTCGACAATTCAAATAAACAGCAAAATACCTACAGTTACAGATTGAATTGTATACAATACAGTACCTATGTATGTGATGCTAAGTAAGATCACGGACTTATATAATCTAGTTTCGTGATTACATTTATCTCAAAAATATAATTGAATTATGAGATTCAAACATTTTTGTTTCTCCCCATACATGTAGCATACACAACGTCAAGTTATAATTTAACATCTTGGTTAAATAATGAAAATCATCTCGATCCACTCCCTTAGCATACGTAGGTGTGAAATTTGTGTAAAGGTAAATAACACTAAACGCATGTGTCTAGTACTGACAGCAGGAGGCCCAAGACATACCTTTATACCTATGTACAGGTATGACATCAAAGGGATATCAGCAGGTGGGCAAGGGGGTACCTGAAGTTAGTATGTAGATTGCATTTGGTGTAGATGACAATTTAACAACAATGTCCTCAAGCGAGATAACGGGGCAATGTATAAGCAGAGACGTACATATTATGTCTCTGGTATAAGGATCAATTTCAAGAAAAATATTAATAAATTAAATGCGTAAGTACTGTCACAGAGTCACATTATATGCAAACCACAATCAGTCGACAGATGAAAGTCAGAAACGAGGCAAATAATGCTGGACCATGCTATGCACATTATATATCTGATCCAGACGTTCGTTGATAAATTACTCATCTTTGTGGGACTTGAACGGACAGGTTCTCCCCTGCAATGTTCTTAGAAGTGGCGTGTATATTTATCATGTGCTAAACTCCTTGGATTGCATACAGAATAAAAACGTTTCAAGTTTTATGACTGGGAGTATAAATTATTGTACCGGTGCATTTTTTTGTCAATTCCAATCGTATATCTACATATTGCAAAGAAAGGGGTGCGGTGCGCCTACGTTAATTTAACAACTCAATTTTTAATCAATTGTTTTGTGTTGTATATAGGTGTTTATCAAATTTTCTAAAGATCAATTTAATAATAAAGAGTATATTATTTACAGTCACTAGATTAACCAATTATGTAAAAAAAAAACATATTCATATAGTTTTTCACCGTTTGCCTCCTCAGGAGGAACTAATCACTTCATTAAATTGTAAAAGAAAAATCATTTATATGTATGTAGTCTTTAAATATTATCTACACAAGTAAGTGACGACGGAATATATCATATAAGTAGCTAAAAAGCTCACATAACGAACGCACGGGATATCCCTATAGGGATATTAATAATAATAAATAATAATAAATAATAATAATAATAATGATAATAATAAAATAATAATAAAATTATTTTATTCAAGTGTCACATATTGATCTACATATAAAACAGATAAAATGTACATAAAATTAGATCAATAACCAGCCAAAGTTAATCGACTTATGAGACACTGAAAAGGCAGAGAATATACATTATAAACAGTTGTGGGTTTTTTTATTGAAAAGGCAATATTATATAAACCTTGGAATAAGTTTCATCAGATTTTGTCAGCTTATTATATCATATAGTTTTAAGATATTTCAATATACATTGTTGTCAAAGTAAATTATCACTTATGAGACTCCAAAACGCAATAAATTACAAAAGAACAAGTGTCATCGCATTTTGAGAGAACAATACTTATAACAACTATCCATAAGTTATTCTAGCACATTGATGTCCAAGTTAATTTAGACTTCTGCAACTCCAAACGACAATGATTTATCTTAAAATAATATAAATATCACCAAATTTAAAAAGACCAATATTTGTGTCAGCTTACTATATTGCTTATCATAAGATATTATAACACTGTTACACATTGGTGTCAAAGTAAAAGATATTGTAACTGTTACATATTGGTGTCAAAGTAAATTTGACTTTAGAGACTCCAACAAGGCAATAATATACATTAAATATATAAGAGCCACCACATTGAAAGAGGCCAATTATATAGATATAAATATTTGGTAGCTAATTATAAGGTATTTCATTACCTATTCCTGTACTACCAACTTTAGCGAGAAACCCGCTTTGGTACTTTATCGGATGATATATCGATTCATTATGTACTGGTAAAATGTCACATATCTTATGCTCATTACTTAGATTACTGCATGTATAGTTTTCTACGCTTGAACGCGTTAAAAATAAATTGACCTATATTTGGCTGGAGTACACCATTTTTTATTATGTTAAGGAACTGTGTGTCACTGTCCTGCATTAAGAACCCCTCTTTAACACCACAGGCTTGATTTCGCAAATTATATCTTAAATCACTGTACAGTTTGCACTCAATTACGAAATGTTTTTCGTCTTCGACTTTCCTCATGTCACAATGAGTACACAGTCTATCATGAAGTTGAATGGGCGGCCTGGCATATCTTCCAGTCTATATTCCTATAGGGCTGTTTTGACAGGGTTGAACTTGTGACGTCACAGATGTGGGCTACCTATATCGAGGCGATCGCCGCTGAGCCAAAGGTGTGTTTTTTCAGATAAATCACAATATCTCTGAAACGAGTCAACTACGACGTTCGCACTTTCTTAGCCATTTATTTTATAATATGAAGCATTTTCATAGCTTGATATAGCAAAACGTTCAGGGTACACTTTAAGTGGCTGTTGAATATACATTTCTTACAAACACACCACCTAGCTAATGATTCAATACACAAAAGGTCTACATACAATCAATTACCGTATGTGTATATTACCGGCTCTGTTGTATAGACGGAAACAGGGCTGGTCACACACGACTGTGTCCCTACGTGGTGTAATGACTGTATTACAATCTAAAACTAGACCTTTAACAATAGAACTAATAGAACTCCTATGGACAGGGTACTATTAAATATATTGTAAACTGTATATCACATATGAAATTTAACTATACTGCTCTTCGTTCGAAAAGGAAACATTACATTTAAATAATTCTCTTACTATATGAATATATACTAAATCAGAATGTTTTAGATTAAGGATATATATGTAGACAAGGTACCCGTTATAGCCCCTGTTTTGGGACATGTGTATTAACGACATGCTTGTTATATCTACAAAATGTGTAGTCTACGTATACATGTAGGTAGTGGGGGGAGTCCATTGGTAATACTAGGTGTTTTGTTATGAGTTGTACGGGTTTGACGTCGTAGGGTTTATAAGTCTATGGAGACCGTAGTGTACAATGATCTAGCTACCTCAGGTAAGTCGATTGTTTTCATTATTATTATTTGAAAGTATGTAAAGCGATATTCACACTTTTCAGTGTATTTTCTGAAAGCGATCGTTTGAAATCCCGGGTCACGATTGATATGTTTTTACTATCGGTTAACATATGACAACTGATTCCTTGTTTACCGTAATGTTTCAGTAAGCTGATAAGGTACTAATGCAGATTGATTTGTTTTTACTATCGGTTAAAATATGACAACTGATTCCTTGTTTACCGTAATGTTTCGGTAAGCTGCTAAGATACTAATGCAGATTGATTTGTTTTTACTATCGGTTAACATATGACAACTGATTCCTTGTTTACCGTCATGTTTCGGTAAGCTGCTAAGATACTAATGCAGATTGATTTGTTTTTACTATCGGTTAACATATGACAACTGATTCCTTGTTTACCGTCATGTTTCGGTAAGCTGCTAAGATACTAATGCAGATTGATTTGTTTTTACTATCGGTTAACATATGACAACTGATTCCTTGTTTACCGTCATGTTTCGGTAAGCTGCTAAGATACTAATGCAGATTGATTTGTTTTTACTATCGGTTAACATATGACAACTGATTCCTTGTTTACCGTCATGTTTCGGTAAGCTGCTAAGATACTAATGCAGATTGATTTGTTTTTACTATCGGTTAACATATGACAACTGATTCCTTGTTTACCGTCATGTTTCGGTAAGCTGCTAAGATACTAATGCAGATTGATTTGTTTTTACTATCGGTTAACATATGACAACTGATTCCTTGTTTACCGTCATGTTTCGGTAAGCTGCTAAGATACTAATGCAGATTGATTTGTTTTTACTATCGGTTAACATATGACAACTGATTCCTTGTTTACCGTCATGTTTCGGTAAGCTGCTAAGATACTAATGCAGATTGATTTGTTTTTACTATCGGTTAACATATGACAACTGATTCCTTGTTTACCGTCATGTTTCGGTAAGCTGCTAAGATACTAATGCAGATTGATTTGTTTTTACTATCGGTTAACATATGACAACTGATTCCTTGTTTACCGTCATGTTTCGGTAAGCTGCTAAGATACTAATGCAGATTGATTTGTTTTTACTATCGGTTAACATATGACAACTGATTCCTTGTTTACCGTCATGTTTCGGTAAGCTGCTAAGATACTAATGCAGATTGATTTGTTTTTACTATCGGTTAACATATGACAACTGATTCCTTGTTTACCGTCATGTTTCGGTAAGCTGCTAAGATACTAATGCAGATTGATTTGTTTTTACTATCGGTTAACATATGACAACTGATTCCTTGTTTACCGTCATGTTTCGGTAAGCTGCTAAGATACTAATGCAGATTGATTTGTTTTTACTATCGGTTAACATATGACAACTGATTCCTTGTTTACCGTCATGTTTCGGTAAGCTGCTAAGATACTAATGCAGATTGATTTGTTTTTACTATCGGTTAACATATGACAACTGATTCCTTGTTTACCGTCATGTTTCGGTAAGCTGCTAAGATACTAATGCAGATTGATTTGTTTTTACTATCGGTTAACATATGACAACTGATTCCTTGTTTACCGTCATGTTTCGGTAAGCTGCTAAGGTACTAATGCAGATTGATTTGTTTTTACTATCGGTTAACATATGACAACTGATTCCTTGTTTACCGTCATGTTTCGGTAAGCTGATAAGATACTAATGCTGACCGTGCTACGTCTGTCCACTTGTATACAACCTACATAGAACGGACCCTGTGTGACCTAATTATGTGAACCAGAATTTTCACGCAGGAAGCGGTTTCTCTTCATATATATTGGTAAATACTGGCAAAACTTCATGGTTATTGCACACAAATCAGTGGTTCGTGTAATACGGAAAGTTCATCGCTATGTAAATCATTCTTCAAACTATAGCTGCAGAGTAATGGTAGGTCGTTATAACGCTGTGTGGCATTTATCCCTGTTTAACGTTCAACATTAAGGGTAATGGCAACCACTGATTAACCCTTTGTCAGTATAATGTGACCGGGCGGAATGCTGTGCTGGGTGCATGCGGCATGGCATTGCGGCGAGATAGAGCTATAAAGTTGGTATTAGATCCGCGCTATCACGAGGAGACAAATACACCAAAATATCCTAGTTCCAGCACACATTCACACACGCACGCATCAACAACACACATGGAGGCACGTCCTTATATGACCTTAGCTGTTAATAGGACGTTAAACAAAATAAAATCAAACTAAACAGGAAATACAAGAAAGATTTAAAACCAGAACACTATGTTAAACATAATATGACTGGACCTTACCGTGGTGCTCTAACCAAGCTCAGATGTGGTAGTGCTCCTTTAAGGATAGAGACTGGGCGATATAGTAGACCTCCAACTCCTTTACATGAGCGGTTTTGTTTTTCTGCACTAACTCAGTGAAGACTGAAGTTAATTTTTTATGCGACTGTCCTTTGTATAGTGACCAAAGACTTAGTCTATTTCATCAGATGCAGAACTCTTGTGATACTTTCAAAGGTTGTGATAGTAATGAAAAATTATATTTATTAATGGACAATCCAAATATCCCATTTATATTAGGAAAAACTGTATATTTTATGTCACGCGCGCATTAACAACATACATGGAGGCACGTCCTTAAATTACCTTAGCTGTTAATAGGACGTTAAACAAAATAAAACCAAACTAAACCAATGCTAAACAATGTTACAACTCTATGTAGAGGACATAACTGGACCTGTATATGGTGTTATTAATGGACATGTATATGGTGTTATTAATGGACCCGTATATGGTGTTATTAATGCTGTTACATGCAGTGATATATGGTCGTTTTACCGATATCCCCTTTATCTGATTGGGCTGTTCGTCTTCCATATTTTACTGGGCATACACTGTTACTTGAGATTTTGTTTTAACTACGTGTACCACCTTGGGTTTCTCAATTATCCCTCATACCGAACTAATTGTCGGCTACCTCTAATATTTCAGCCTATCTAGATTTCTACAATGGCTTGATTAAACAATTGATTTTTTAACTGGAAAGAATGCTATTATATCATTCATCATAACAAATCACATACATTTGATCTGTTAGGTTAAATATACAAATATGTGTATAGTGAATGGATAATGTGGATAAATTGTATTAGACGATGCTGTATCGCTCAGATCTGAGTGTTTAACGATACACTGTAACTAACAATGAATTTTAGAAATTCAAACATGTATAGAGTCAAGTGTGTTGACGATTGTGATGCATCCTTTGTGTATGTGCCACGTTGACGTACAGTAATTATACACGAAATCACGAGATAATGGGTGTATAGAAATCGCTGGGTATTGTTGATATGTATATATGTTTAGTATACCGTGGATTGACGACGTCGGTAAACACCACTAGCGTACGGTGCTATTTAGTTACATCGATAAGGTTATTGTGTATTCATTTAGTTCATTAATCAAGGCATAGCGGCCCATTAGTTAGTAGCAAGAAGTAATAGCACACAAACAGTAGGGGATGATTTGGGTTAGTTATAACGTTAGCATTATACCGAAATATTGTAAGTTTCGTATTTTGTGCTTTACGTACGGAAATACATACGTAAATCGTTTTATCATATTCACTCTCTAAGTATCGTTTATCAAATTGTACAATGGCGGGTTGGTGGAGATGACTGAGATAACAGTTTACGGTCCTGTATAAACCCTCGTGACAAAGTGTATACTATGCTAAATATTAAACGTCTGTTTTATACAATTTCCGTATCATTTTTATGATCAGTTCGATATATAAACGTTGACCAAAACAAATCAGTCTTTAAAATTGGTGTTTATAGCTATATTTGTTTGAGCCCAGAGTCAATGCGGAGCAATAATGTAATTCTAACAAAACACTGAACGAAGGGTGAACATTTTACTTCAGCGATCATTTCCAGTATGTCTTTTTTATGAAATGTATTATTAAATAAATTATTACAATCTGTCAATACTAATTCGCAATGTTGTTCAAATTGTTTTACAGATTCGACAGAAAGGTTTGGTAGATGCGAGTCGTTGTCTGACATACGACATGGACCTTTCGGAAGTATCGGAGCAGGAACACCCGGATGTAGAGGGAGCAGTCCCGGGAAAACAGCCGGTCTGTATACTGAGAATAGGATATCGCCGTCGTATAGTATTAAACAGACCCGTAATACACGTTCGCTGTTCCACTTTCAGCGTATCGTTTGCGTATCATTTCCGTAGCGTTTGGGTCCAAGTTGGAACAGCGAACGTGTACGGAACTGTACGTACTACTCGGTAATATATTCATCCTGCCGAATCGGGGGTGGTTTCTTCCTTGTTCTTCTGTTAAGAGGACATTGAAGAAATCAATAAAAGACTTGATGTGTCCCACTGTATGTGTACCGCAAAAGGCGTCTGGCAGAATCAGGGGTTTTCTTATTAGTCTTCTACTTAGTGCGCATGGCAGATACCAAACAATTGATCTGCTGCCCCCATTGCAAAACCTTGGGTATTTTTATGTTTCTATCGTTCCTGCATACTTTCCTCTCGATATATTTTCTCTTTCTGGTGGCGTCTCCCTAGGCACCCGTCCTTATATAACCCTGGCTGTTTCGAGGACAATCAAACGCTTTCAATATTAGACTTTATTTCGTCAACATCTTTTTTTGAAGTACTCCCCATAGGTCATGTTCTTGTCTCTATTGACTTCTACGTTTGTTTTTGTGTTCATGCTGTTGTTGTTTTACAGTGCTACACAACAGACGATACCTTCCGCGGCAGGCAACTTATAGCGGGAGTGCCTGCAGAACTACTCGATTCGTCGAGATTGTCTCTCCTTAGGTGCTATTCAAAACACGACATTTCACAGGATGCCCCATAGTAACACCAGGGACATCATCCCCTGTCACCAGGGACATCATTCCCTGTCACCAGGGACATCATTCCCTGTCACCAACACTTCTGCTATTATTACCCTGTAGTCTCCCGTCTAACTTTAGTTTTTGGGTGTACAAAAAGTGCCCGTCACAAATCTCTTTGATCAGGAAGAATATTTTAAATTTTAGCAAATCCGCTATCAGTGCATTCATACTTTGAAATATTTTTCAAAACAAACATGAAATATAGCTGATATATCCCACTGCATGATCGTACGGGGCGACTTATTTGGGCTCCCTGCAGAGTCCTGGGTGGTTTCGTCCTTGTCGTCTATTTAAGTGTATCGTTAAGGTCACTAATGTTGGGCCCTGCAGAATCTGGCGTTTTCTTCCGTGTATCATACAGGAAGACGAAAACGGTTTGCTGCCTACTTGTAAGACATATTTTCCAGTTTCTTGTCTACCTTCTTTCTTTCCAATCTATTTTTCCGATGTCTCCCTATGCACTCATTATCTTATGACACTTACTCTTGCAAGGACATTGTTCTCAAAATAAATAAACAAATCAAGAAAATATAAAACAACAATTCAAAGTACAAATCGGAATAATTTATCTTGCAGAAAACGGTATATGTAAAAGTAGTGTTTCTGAAACTCGGCGAGATAGAGACGGTGAAGGAGCAGTTTGTGGCTGACGTCTTTATACAGGCAAGATGGCGGGAGCAAGTTCTGGACAGTTGCAAAGTAAGATGATATTAAGATCACAGAAAATAAGTTATGGACACTAGCAAAGTAATATGATATTGTGATTCACGGGGGGAAAGTGACGACGAAACATAATACACACTGACGGCGACCATAAAACTGACCGCGACTCATAATACAACTGACCGCGACACATAATACAACTGACGGCGACACATAATATGTACAACTGACGGCGACACATAATATGTACAACTGACGGCGACAAATAATACAACTGACGGCGACACATAATATGTACAACTGACGGCGACAAATAATACAACTGACGGCGACACATAATAAAACTGACGGCGATACATAATACAAATGACGGCGATACATAATATGTACAACTGACGGCGACAAATAATACAACTGACGGCGACAAATAATACAACTGACGGCGACTCATAATACAACTGACCGCGACACATAATACAAATGACGGCGATACATAATACAACTGACGGCGACAAATAATACAACTGACGGCGACAAATAATACAACATATAACGACACATAATACAACATATAACGACACATAATAAATCTGACGGCGATACATAATACAACTGACGGTGACACATAATACAACTGACGGCGACACATACTACAACTGACCGCGATAACTTTTAACTTTTGATATTATATTTAATTAAACTGCTTGACCACAGACCTTCATGCTAATGTGTAGACTAGTCACGTACACGCTTCTATTCTTGTTCTTCGATTTTTGTTCAATCCTTGGCCAAAATTGTCTTCAGGTCGAATTATTTATGCAACCCTTGATATTATAAACATGCAACGCTTGCAAAATATTCATACAACCCAGGATATGATAAGTATACAACCCATGATACAATATGTATGCAGCCCTTGATATTATATTTATGCAAAACTTTATATACTATTTATAAATCCCTTGATATAATGATTATTTAAAGTAATTTTAATGAAGTTAATTTCGCCTTCTGTATGCATTGTAATGTTTATTTATTTTAAGAATAAGATAAGTATTCATGTGTTTTGTCCTATCCAAGAGTGAAAAGGTGGACTTCAACAAATATTGGAATCCAAATATTCAGATACAAAACCTGACTTCGTCAACAAAGAGAAACAAATGGAATGAGATTCGTTTTGGAAAATCCGGTGAAGCCTTTATAGTTGAGAGACGACGCATTAGCGGAACGTTCACGGAGAAAATGGAACTCGAGGATTTCCCTTTTGATTCGCAAGACCTCAGTATACTTATGACGTCAGATCTGCCGGTAAAGGAGGTTATACTTGAGGAGGACAATCAAGACTTGTCAACAATTAATGTGGCCAGCTTTGCCGACGAACAGGAGTGGTTTCTTAGTGACCATGTGGAAAGCAACAAGAGTGTTATACGGAAGGAGTTTACCCAGAGTAAGAACGTCGAGTTTCCGGTGTTACGTGTCAGCTGTATCGCCACACGTCAATTCATGTTCTTCGTTTGGAACATCATTATCATCACGGTGAGTAACCTGTTACGTCTGACCTGAATTAAGAGACCCTCCCCGTATAGCAACACGTCAATTCGTGTTCTTCGTTTGGAACATCATTATCATCACGGGGAGTAACCTGTTACGTCAGACCTGTATTAAAAGACCCTCCCCGTATAGCAACACGTCAATTCGTGTTCATCGTTTGGAACATCATTATCATCATGGTGAGTAACCTGTTACATCAGACCTGTATTAAAAGTCCATCCCCGTATAGCAACACGTCGATTCATGTTCTTCGTTTGGAACATCATTATCATCACGGGGAGTAACCTGTTACGTCAGACATGTATTAAGAGACATCCCCGAATAGCAAAACGTCAATTCATGTTCATCGTATGGAACATCATTATCATCACGGTGAGTAACCTGTTACATCAGACCTGTATTAAAAGTCCATCCCCGTATAGCAACACGTCGATTCATGTTCTTCGTTTGGAACATCATTATCATCACGGTAAGTAACCTGTTACGTCAGACCTGTATTAAGAGACCATCCCGGTATAGCAAGACGTCGATTCATGTTCTTCGTTTGGAACATCATTATCATCACGGTAAGTAACCTGTTACGTCAGACCTGTATTAAGAGACATACCCGTATAGCAACACGTCGATTCATGTTCTTCGTTTGGAACATCATTATCATCACGGTAAGTAACCTGTTACGTCAGACCTGTATTAAGAGACCCTCCCCGTATAGCAACATGTCAATTCGTGTTCTTCGTTTGGAACATCATTATCATCACGGGGAGTAACCTGTTACGTCAGACCTGTATTAAAAGCCCCTCCCCGTATAGCAACACGTCAATTCGTGTTCTTCGTTTGGAACATCATTATCATCACGGGGAGTAACCTGTTACGTCAGACCTGTATTAAAAGCCCCTCCCCGTATAGCAACACGTCAATTCGTGTTCATCGTTTGGAACATCATTATCATCATGGTGAGTAACCTGTTACATCAGACCTGTATTAAAAGTCCATCCCCGTATAGCAACACGTCGATTCATGTTCTTCGTTTGGAACATCATTATCATCACGGTAAGTAACCTGTTACGTCAGACCTGTATTAAGAGACCCTCCCCGTATAGCAACATGTCAATTCGTGTTCTTCGTTTGGAACATCATTATCATCACGGTGAGTAACCTGTTACGTCAGACCTGTATTAAAAGACCCTCCCCGTATAGCAACACGTCAATTCGTGTTCTTCGTTTGGAACATCATTATCATCACGGTGAGTAACCTGTTACGTCAGCCCTGTATTAAGAGACCATTCCGGTATAGCAACACGTCGATTCATGTTCTTCGTTTGGAACATCATTATCATCCCGGTGAGTAACCTGTTACGTCAGACCTGTATTAAAAGACCCCCCCCGTATAGCAACACGTCAATTCGTGTTCTTCGTTTGGAACATCATTATCATCACGGTGAGTAACCTGTTACGTCAGACCTGTATTAAGAGACCATTCCGGTATAGCAACACGTCGATTCATGTTCTTCGTTTGGAACATCATTATCATCACGGTGAGTAACCTGTTACGTCAGACCTGTATTAAGAGACCCTTCCCGTATAGCAACACGTCAATTCGTGTTCTTCGTTTGGAACATCATCATCACGGTGAGTAACCTGTTACGTCAGACATGTATTAAAAGACCATTCCGGTATAGCAACACGTCAATTCATGTTAATCGTTTGGAACATCATTATCATCACGATGAGTAACCTGTTACGTCAGACCTATATTGAGAGACCATTCTCGGGAAAAAACCAACATACAACCCCCGGCTCTCATACAACCATATATTACAAGCATACATTACAACCATACATTACAACCATATATTACAATCATACATTACAACCATACATTACAACAATATATTACAACAATATATTACAACCATACATTACAACCATATATTACAACCATACATTACAGACATACATTACAACCATACATTACAACCATACATTACAACCATATATTACAACCATACATTACAACGATATATTACAACCATACATTACAACAATATATTACAACCATACATTACAAAGATATATTACAACCATACATTACAAAGATATATTACAACCATACATTACAACAATATATAACAACGATACATTACAACAATATATTACAACCATACATTTCAACCATATATTACAACCATGTATTACAACCATACATTACAACCATATATTACAACCATATATTACAACCATACATTACAACTATATATTACAACCATATATTACAACCATACAGTACAACCATACATTACAACCATACATTACAACCATATATTATAACCATACACTACAACCATACATTACAACCATACATTACAACCATATATTACAACCATATATTACAACCATACATTACAACCATATATTACAACCATACATTACAACCATATATTACAACCATACATTACAACCATATATTACAACCATACATTACAACCATATATTACAACCATACATTACAACCATATATTACAACCATACATTACAACCATATATTACAACCATACATTACAACCATATATTACAACCATACATTACAACCATATATTACAACCATACATTACAACCATATATTACAACCATACATTACAACCATATATTACAACCATACATTACAACCATATATTACAACCATACATTACAACCATATATTACAACCATACATTACAACCATATATTACAACCATACATTACAACCATATATTACAACCATACATTACAACCATATATTACAACCATACATTACAACCATATATTACAACCATACATTACAACCATATATTACAACCATACATTACAACCATATATTACAACCATACATTACAACCATATATTACAACCATACATTACAACCATATATTACAACCATACATTACAACCATATATTACAACCATACATTACAACCATATATTACAACCATACATTACAACCATATATTACAACCATACATTACAACCATATATTACAACCATACATTACAACCATATATTACAACCATACATTACAACCATATATTACAACCATACATTACAACCATATATTACAACCATACATTACAACCATATATTACAACCATACATTACAACCATATATTACAACCATACATTACAACCATATATTACAACCATACATTACAACCATATATTACAACCATACATTACAACCATATATTACAACCATACATTACAACCATATATTACAACCATACATTACAACCATATATTACAACCATACATTACAACCATATATTACAACCATACATTACAACCATATATTACAACCATACATTACAACCATATATTACAACCATACATTACAACCATATATTACAACCATACATTACAACCATATATTACAACCATACATTACAACCATATATTACAACCATACATTACAACCATATATTACAACCATACATTACAACCATATATTACAACCATACATTACAACCATATATTACAACCATACATTACAACCATATATTACAACCATACATTACAACCATACATTACAACCATATATTACAACCATACATTACAACCATATATTACAACCATACATTACAACCATATATTACAACCATACATTACAACCATATATTACAACCATACATTACAACCATATATTACAACCATACATTACAACCATATATTACAACCATACATTACAACCATATATTACAACCATACATTACAACCATATATTACAACCATACATTACAACCATATATTACAACCATACATTACAACCATATATTACAACCATACATTACAACCATACATTACAACCATATATTACAACCATACATTACAACCATATATTACAACCATACATTACAACCATATATTACAACCATACATTACAACCATATATTACAACCATACATTACAACCATATATTACAACCATACATTACAACCATATATTACAACCATACATTACAACCATATATTACAACCATACATTACAACCATATATTACAACCATACATTACAACCATATATTACAACCATACATTACAACCATATATTACAACCATACATTACAACCATATATTACAACCATACATTACAACCATACATTACAACCATATATTACAACCATACATTACAACCATATATTACAACCATACATTACAACCATATATTACAACCATACATTACAACCATATATTACAACCATACATTACAACCATATATTACAACCATACATTACAACCATATATTACAACCATACATTACAACCATATATTACAACCATACATTACAACCATATATTACAACCATACATTACAACCATATATTACAACCATACATTACAACCATATATTACAACCATACATTACAACCATACATTACAACCATATATTACAACCATATATTACAACCATACATTACAACCATATATTACAACCATACATTACAACCATATATTACAACCATACATTACAACCATATATTACAACCATACATTACAACCATATATTACAACCATACATTACAACCATATATTACAACCATACATTACAACCATATATTACAACCATACATTACAACCATATATTACAACCATACATTACAACCATATATTACAACCATACATTACAACCATATATTACAACCATACATTACAACCATATATTACAACCATACATTACAACCATATATTACAACCATACATTACAACCATATATTACAACCATACATTACAACCATACATTACAACCATATATTACAACCATATATTACAACCATACATTACAACCATATATTACAACCATACATTACAACCATATATTACAACCATACATTACAACCATATATTACAACCATACATTACAACCATATATTACAACCATACATTACAACCATATATTACAACCATACATTACAACCATATATTACAACCATACATTACAACCATATATTACAACCATACATTACAACCATATATTACAACCATACATTACAACCATATATTACAACCATACATTACAACCATATATTACAACCATACATTACAACCATATATTACAACCATACATTACAACCATATATTACAACCATACATTACAACCATATATTACAACCATACATTACAACCATATATTACAACCATACATTACAACCATATATTACAACCATACATTACAACCATATATTACAACCATACATTACAACCATATATTACAACCATACATTACAACCATATATTACAACCATACATTACAACCATATATTACAACCATACATTACAACCATATATTACAACCATACATTACAACCATATATTACAACCATACATTACAACCATATATTACAACCATACATTACAACCATATATTACAACCATACATTACAACCATACATTACAACCATATATTACAACCATACATTACAACCATACATTACAACCATATATTACAACCATAAATTACAACCATACATAACAACCATATATTACAACCATACATTACAACCATACATTACAGACATACATTACAACCTTACATTACAACCATACATTACAACCATACATTACAACAATATATTACAACCATACATTACAACAATATATTACAACCATATATTACAACCATATATTACAACCATACATTACAACCATACATTACAACCATATATTACAACCATATATTACAACCATACATTACAACCATATATTACAACCATACATTACAACCATACATTACAACCATATATTACAACCATACATTACAACCATACATTACAACCATATATTACAACCATACATTACAACCATACATTACAACCATATATTACAACCATACATTACAACCATACATTACAACCATATATTACAACCATACATTACAACCATACATTACAACCATACATTACAACCATATATTACAACCATACATTACAGCCATACATTACAACCATACATTACACACATGGGGACATATCCCAAAACTATGTTACATATGTATCTGTCAATTCGACGCTTAACCCAAATAAAGCCACACACGATTCCAGAACTCAGGATCTCTTAACACTGATGGTCTCTTATTTCAGGTTAAAAACTGACTACATGTAGTACATTTAGAACCAATAGATGTAGTCTCTTTACACCGGTTGTCACTTAGTAGAGTTGGTCGCATGAACAGGTTTTAATCTATCATATACCAACAAACTACAGAATTAGAAAGTCGCAGCGATTAGGGGATTGAGAAAATAATTCATATCTGTATATTTTGCGACTAGTGTGGGAATCCCCTGCAGAAATAGAGACGGTCGTTCTTGTCGTCTGCGTTTGAGCAAGAACGCAACTGAATTAAATCTGATATGCCCGTTGTTACACCTGGAATGTTACATGTCCCCCTTAATATACTTCACTTCATTAGTTCATAACCACGCTGTTCATCTAATGCTAAACATTCGTCCGGAAGTTTTGCAATCATATCCTGACTGTGTCTTTCTTGGAAACATTAGAAATGTTGTTGAACAGTTATAAATATTAGTTATAGTTTGAAACATTCGTCTTTCATGCTAAGACGTAAATAATCTTACCATTTCCTTCGTAAAACGTTTTTGAGTATAACATGAGCGGACGGAATGCTATGATTGGTGCTATTGGCAAGATATATCAGTGAGGTACATATGTAGTACGTTAACGTCGGCAGCAGATCCGTGCTATCACAAGGAGGCAAATACGCCAATATACCCTTGTCTCCGGCACATATACACACATACACACATGCACACATGCACGCATACACAACACACAAAGGACCACGTCCTTGCATGACCTTAGCTGTCGATAGGAGGCACACACATTATGCTGTTTTTTTATTTTTTATAGATACATGTCGTTTTGTCATTAGGTATTTCTACATGTACCTGTTTTTTACAGTTCATCATCAGCACGCTGTCGTTCGCCACTTTCTCTGTTGACCGGACCCTTCCACAGAACCGTCTACAGCTGGCCTTCACTCTAACGCTCACCGGGGTCACGTTCAGGTTCGTGGCCAATCAGAGCCTGCCTAAAATATCCTACCTGACAAAGCTGGTACGTTTAATATTTCAAACCGTCTCTGTTATATTTTCCCTCATTATATTCTTCAAAATATAAATCAATTATATTCAAATGATAACACAAGACATATATGGGATTATAGCTCGTTGCTAATTCCTTTATAACAATCCACAACCAAATACAAACCACACCTAACCACTATAGCCTACTCCCACTGGCCAACATACGTCACCAAATAATTGCATTTAAATATGTTTATCCAAAAACAACCTTGCACTATAGATAAGAAAAAATACATAGTGATGAGCAACGAACTCGAAAGAGCGCAATTAGCGCGTGCTCCCTATATATATACCCTACACCACGTGAGATCCACCAGACACGTCCTCACCCGAATACTTACGGAAACAACCGAAGTTAATTTAATTTATTGTATAACCAATACATTGACCGGCACTTGATGAAAACAACAACACTTATATGTTTACGACATCTTCCCCACAGGACAAATACATCTTGTTCTGCATGATCTTCAACTTCCTCGTGAGCGTGTGGCACGCGGGCGGTTCACAGATCGACGACGGTACAGCGGCTGACGGTCAACACGATTTTTGGGCCTTTATCTTCTTCATCATCCTGTACTCCTCATTTCAGCTTCTGTTCTTCCTTACCGTCCTCATCAGGGTAAGACATTCTGCATCATTTCGCGTCTCCGTGTTAATCATTTGAAGGCAATAGACGTCGACACAAGTTCGTTATAGATTTTCATGTTGGAGTGTAATAGTGTGTTCCAAATTGTACAGTAAGTGTCCTAATTCAACTAGCCTTCTTCATATCGATCAAGAAATGACCAAGCCGTATATATGTTTATTTTCCAGCCAGTTTATCATCCTTGTATATTTTATCGTAATTCCTACTATATTGATTATATCTGTTCGACCTCTTTAATGTAACGAAATATATTGCTGCCCGACCAGTAATTTTCCTTTCCGTAACATTGCTATGGGAAGTAATGAAGAAAAGTTTAAACAGTGCTGCAGGTGAATTAATAATGGAGAATGTGTCTGGTCTGTTTTCCAGTTACCCATGTTTGTTATACTTTCTCGGAACTAAGATATTTAACAACTGTATAATTATAGAACTGCATAATTGACGAGGAAAACGCTATAACCACGTTGTTCTGATCATGCAGATATGAAACAACCAATTTTGATTGGCTGGTTGGTGAGCGCGAATTTTTGTTCGAAATTCCAAAGGCTGAAGTAACTTTGAATTGGTTTAATTTGTAAATACCTATTAGATGTACATGTTTATATTAAAACAAGTAATTGGTCACGAAATACGTATGCTGTAAAAAAGAATGTGTTATACATACCATCATTATAGCAGTAGGTACGTGTATGTAGGTGATATATGTTAAGTAAATTACATATGGATTATATTATTTACAGTATTTGGTTGCGAGACAGAAAATCGAGATGAAGATGAAAGCTTACCAAGTAAGTGTTATCGAGATAAGTGATTTTTATGTGTGAGTTACTTATTCGAGAAAACGTTTTCATATTCTACTCCTTATTTGATATAACACAGAGTCAGACGTCACATTTGTTGTTGCGGTTTAGTTACCGCCGAGGTTGCGGGACGTCAATGAAAGTTACACGTATGTTCTGATCGCGTGCTGGTTGAGTTAACACAGTAATTATATCCAATACAAAATACGACATTTCCAGATAAAGATGTGGGCTTTCTCCCGATATTTTATCCGTTTTCCTCCCACATAAAGAACCAGCACTGTCCGGTATATAAATTAAAATTTTCATTTCGTTTCACTTGTTAAGGAAGGGAGTCCAAGTTATCTGTGTTGAATTAAAAATGATCTCTTATTTCACACAAAAAAAGAGAGAAAAATCCGCCACTATTTAAACTGTTTCAATGTACTAAGAATTGGAAACTGGTTTTTTTCCGGCATGAGTATTGCTTTGACAAAGCACTTGTGAAGAGAAAACCATATTTTCCGTGACTTTTATGAAAAAAGTAACAACGTTGATGTTAGTGTAAAAAAACGCTGGGCTTGATCCGGATTCAATCCCTGAGCTTCCGTCTGCAAAAGTATCGCTCTAATTTAACCAATTATGCTAGCTGGTTGACAGACGTGCCCTGGCCCAGTTCTTACAGTTAAATCTTAACGGAAGTTAAAAGGGAGGTAACTGCATATAGGAAAACTTTCATAAAAAAGCTGTAAACCGCTAGTGCTGTTTGAGTTCTCTTCCTTTGAACGATTTGAGTTCGGGGACTCGCGAATCTGTAGAGTTATCTCCCTTCGCACAGTTTAGCTAAGACACTGGACAGTATAGTGTGAGAGACAAAGAGGGCACCTCTGTTAGTATAACCAATAAATGAATTTAAGAAAAGAGTCCATTATTTGCATATCTTTGACATATCTCAATAATGTTTTCATCCAAATTCAATCTATATTGTTTATCGCTCGTTTTTGATGGTACTATTAGTTCGATGGCGCATTCAAAATGTACAGTGTGTCGTTTTTCTATAATTCGTAGCCGTATGTAAGATTACCGTCAGCTAAATATGTTACTCTGTTAATATATTCACAAATGCTAGTCAATGTTATCTATTCTTTTAAAGGGAATAATTTTCTCTAATGGTCACAAGGACAACAACGATTTCGTATATTTACACAGCATTCCACTTCATAGTTGACATGTTGAAATTATATGGAAACTAACTTGAGATGTCTACGTTGCTGAACTGTATACATTGTGGTCGGGTGGTGCAGTGGATAGCGCACTTGCGTTTCACCAAGGCGACCGGGGTCACCTGCCCGATATGCGGGTTTTCTCCGGGTACTCCGGTTTCCTCCCACACTAATATAAGACCCCCCCCCCCGCGATAACATCCAGGTCAACAAGAGTGATTTATATCAGATGTAAAAACTTGTCTCATAATTGTTGTAAAATAAATAAAGCGTTCAGATGTTTTATACGTATTAACACGTACATGAACACTCTGCCGTTTATCTATTTAAAGATATCCATTACCTAACAGCTGGTTGGTTAATGGGCATCTTGTTCGTCAGTATAACATTAGACTGTCTTTATCTTAGTCTTAAAACTTCACCTGTTCTGTTTGTTTATTCAGGAAAAGGCTGTGCTGGTCCTGGGACAGAAATGGTCAAGTAACCGCCGGGTGAAGTCGGACAGAAACAGTAACCGGATTAACCCGACACAGTTCTGAACCCGGATGTTGTCACGTGAAAAAGGAATTACATCAGTATCTCGCGTTCTGGTGTATTAAGTATGAATCGGAGTAAATGCGATTGCAAGCAATAGCGCATTTGATTTTGCCTATTACAGACATTATTTGTCTTCTTTATTACAAAATAAACAACAGAACTAAGAACCTCGTGAAACACTTTATACTCGACACACACTTTATACCCGACACACACTTTATACTCGACACACACTTTATACTCGACACACACTTTATACCCGACACACACTTTATACTCGACACACGCTTTATACTCGACACACACTTTATACCCGACACACACTTGCATGCAAGTCAAGTAATGGAACTGGCAAACAAAACACATTTTAAATCTGCTTTTATATTTCGTGTCTAAGCTGATAATTTACGCTCGCAATTAATTATGGACGATTAGAAGTGAAAGACGTCAGTGACGGCCCAGTCATTCTACGGGTTTAATATCAAAATAACTACAGCAAAAATGATTTCTCCGTTTCGCAAAATTTTTGGTAGCAGGACACATATGTACACTTGGTAAAGTTTGAAGTGATATAACCACACCTGTACCTCTTCGTTAATATTGTGTTATGTATATTGATAGCATTTCAAGACATTAAGGTACATTATGATTTGCCAAAATATTGCTTCTGAATCATGGTTTTGAAACATTGGCGAACTAAGAAGTAGGCCGAATTGGATAGAAATCGTTCCTACACGGTACATGTAAGTTTTAAAAAAGCATAACTCCATTTCGCCACACGATATAATTTATGATAATTCGTATAAGCGACAGACATTTAGAATCCATACATCACAATGTTGATTTCTAGCTCTGTTAACATTTGAATGTCTCTACCTAAAACTGCTTGTATAGATCAGACGGATTGGTGTTTTGACAGAAACATAACGTTACGTTTGGGTACTTGCCGTAAACTATAGATTGGTTGAAAAACTTCTTTTCTTGCTCCCGGGCAATACCGACTTTTGTTGTTGCAGTTTGAACTTTATTTTGAAAGCTGCATAATGGTGGATCTATATTTGGGGCAAAAATAGCAGCTACAGTCGACTTACGTTGAATGGTATTGAAAATAACTTGATTGGAAAGAGTCATATTTGGTGATTCTGTTCTTCAAGATATTGATTATCATTTGTTTTTTAATATACAGTCACAAACAAACGTTTTACAACATACTTGTGTCAACCCCATTGCGGAAACTCTACATTTAATAACATTATATTTCTATGGTTCCCTGGTCTTGTTGGAATCTGTGTAAAAGGAGTGGTCAATGAATTCTTATTTTAAACCTAGTGTAGCCAGGTACATAAAATTCTAACTTGCAACGAAATTGCTAAATGAAAATCAGATTTAGATGCGAATAAGATGTAGGACATGTTCGACAAATTCAATATGACTTGAAATAAATCAATTTGTCAATGGTCTTTTACTATTTCGGTGAAGATGGTTTTTACCAGTACTTGTGATAGTAAGGTCAATGATTAGTTCTCTTAATACTTACCTGTGTGTGTAGATTTACACCTTTATCCTTTATTTTAGTTTGTTTTATTAATGTTTACAATGACACTTATGGTGTTCGGCTCAGCATAACATTATTGTTGCTANGGCGAACTAAGAAGTAGGCCGAATTGGATAGAAATCGTTCCTACACGGTACATGTAAGTTTTAAAAAAGCATAACTCCATTTCGCCACACGATATAATTTATGATAATTCGTATAAGCGACAGACATTTAGAATCCATACATCACAATGTTGATTTCTAGCTCTGTTAACATTTGAATGTCTCTACCTAAAACTGCTTGTATAGATCAGACGGATTGGTGTTTTGACAGAAACATAACGTTACGTTTGGGTACTTGCCGTAAACTATAGATTGGTTGAAAAACTTCTTTTCTTGCTCCCGGGCAATACCGACTTTTGTTGTTGCAGTTTGAACTTTATTTTGAAAGCTGCATAATGGTGGATCTATATTTGGGGCAAAAATAGCAGCTACAGTCGACTTACGTTGAATGGTATTGAAAATAACTTGATTGGAAAGAGTCATATTTGGTGATTCTGTTCTTCAAGATATTGATTATCATTTGTTTTTTAATATACAGTCACAAACAAACGTTTTACAACATACTTGTGTCAACCCCATTGCGGAAACTCTACATTTAATAACATTATATTTCTATGGTTCCCTGGTCTTGTTGGAATCTGTGTAAAAGGAGTGGTCAATGAATTCTTATTTTAAACCTAGTGTAGCCAGGTACATAAAATTCTAACTTGCAACGAAATTGCTAAATGAAAATCAGATTTAGATGCGAATAAGATGTAGGACATGTTCGACAAATTCAATATGACTTGAAATAAATCAATTTGTCAATGGTCTTTTACTATTTCGGTGAAGATGGTTTTTACCAGTACTTGTGATAGTAAGGTCAATGATTAGTTCTCTTAATACTTACCTGTGTGTGTAGATTTACACCTTTATCCTTTATTTTAGTTTGTTTTATTAATGTTTACAATGACACTTATGGTGTTCGGCTCAGCATAACATTATTGTTGCTAGGTTTTCAAAATAGTTAACTAAGCAATCTGTGTCGAGTTCACGTGCTACGATCGGAAAATCCCCTCGATTGAAGCTTACGTAAACTTTGTGAAAACGTTCAAACTTTCAAACTTTTCTATTTTATCTCGACACCTTTAACAAACAATGGTATACAGAGATATGTCACATACAACGATTTCATGTATGGTAATAAGTATGCGTGGTTATACACAGGGACGCAGTATAATAATAAGACTTTCGTGCAGAAAACGAGGGAAAATGGCAGTGTGACTGCGAAAGTTCGAAACATTAAAATGGCATGTGACATTTAACGAAAAGTGGATATTAACCCCGCAACGTCTAACATTACACTTAACACAACAGTGTATGTCCAAACTATCTAAACTGTAACAAAGTACCATGTCCCTGTGCTGTACACATCATTGACTATCTATACTGTAACAAAGTACCATGTCCCTGTGCTGTACACATCATTGACTATCTATACTGAAACAAAGTATCATGTCCCTGTGCTGTACACATCATTGACTTCACATAATACACTATACAGTTTTAGTACGTGTATTTGTGTATACACTTTGTTGACGTTTCACAGTGTAGTAATTAACTTAATACAGTGTTAATCACCTATTGTAATTCCGTGGTATGTTTAGACGTGTAGCTTAACTCATTCACCATTGACACTTCATAATGAACTATTTCAACCTATGAATTGGAAGAGTTCAAATGTATCCTCAGGGGTGAATGAGTTAAGTGTTTAACCTGACATGAGTTGTATGTAATTTAGTATGTATGGGGTTATCAGAAGGTTAAGTGTTTACAGATAGTAAAAAACTAAACAACTAGGACATGAACAGTTCAGTATTTTGTAATGTAAAGTAGTTATGTAAAACGACTGGTGCTTCAATATAGTGGGTCCTTCCCCCTTAAGTATCAGACTTGCTCAAGTCCGCGATTTTTAAGTCAAATACAGTTCCTCATTATACTATCGTTCTGCTATCGATAGTAGATCTGTTTTAATCATATATCAAAAAAAATATATCATTAGGAATGCTTCAATTACCCACAGGTATTTGTGTTTCTGTCTGTAATCTGTCTATATAGTGGCATCGGGGTATACTTAACCTGCTTCTTGGCAAAGTAAGATTATTAAAAAATACGTATATGTATACTGTTGCCAAAATCATTCTGCGATATTCATGCTATTTATAACTATTTTTTATCATATTGCAGTGTAAGATAAGACTATATAGAAAATAGCAACAATATCTACTGTTAAGAATCAAAATCTACGCTTATTTACCGTTAATAGAACTAGACTTCCACCTGTAATTGGGTCCTGACCCAGGTTGTTGAAAGCCTGGTCAGGTTAACTAGTCGTTACTGCAAAAAAGATTAATCCGATTTTATAGAAACCTCTAAAAATTGACATAATTCGATTTCTTGTTGTTTTCGTGAGATATTATTGGTTTTTTTTCATGCGATACTATTAAATTTTAATTTCGAATTTCGCTTATTTTTAAATACATACTAGATAAAGTTCATATCAAGCTTACCATGCATTGAACATCTGTGCCCAGGTGTCCGTTATCTTGCGGGGTTTAAAGCTAACTTAACTTAGAACACTCGATAAAACACGGATTCCAGTAATCGGGATCAACGCAATAACGCTTGTTACGAACACGTGGTATTACAGTTATAAATTCCCTATAAGAAAAGTTATTTTATTTAACGCACACCAGAAAAATAATCAATGACCGATAACAAGGGTTATCCACAGACCTTTCCAGTGCACTCAGATATGACGTCGTTATTAGCAAGTACCCGGGATAAATTAGGTCGTTGTAACTATGTATTAATACTGTATAATAAATCACAGCTCATACATATAGCGTAGTTTTACAGGTCAATCTGAATCCGTAAAACATGGCTTGTATACATCCATACATCAGAACACGTCCACACAACCTATAGGAATCGAGTTACTCGGTTATCTATATTCAATACATCTGACAGAAAGCGAAGTCCAGGAGAAAATGAAAGAAAACGTATCGTGTACGCACTTAAATGCGTGTTGAATATTCAGTTATATATACACATTGATGACGACTGAGTTTCAGGGTTAAGTTGATTGATTCAGAAATCGATAGATTTTCTATCCCGAGCTGCTTATGGCCGCGGGAAATCAACCCATTAAACCTACCCCTTTGTATACAGGTATGTTATACAGGTATGCCCAAGTGATAGCGGTACAGGTAAACTTCTCGCGGTGTTAGTTTTTACAGGGACGCATTTGCATCGATTTGAATTCCTCGAGCGAGGCCTCGTTTTATTCCAGTGCTGGGATATTATCTGGATTGAATTGATATTTTTTTTGGATTATTAGTCGATGTCCAGTAAATCACCCTAAAGTGGTTTCGTCTACTATAAACGGGTAAGTTTTACACAAAGAAATATAACCGAGAATGTTAACCTTTCACATATTTGTGCAGCGTTGATTATTTCAATTTGATCGTTTGAATGTTATAAATTCATATGACGATATTAAGGAAAATGTACACGTGGGAACCGAAACACGACAGAAATTGAAAAGCATAATATATGTACGGCTTAAACAATGTGTGTGTTTTTTTGTTACTCGGGTTCGGAACGTTATTGGGATATAGTCATTAAACGTTGAAATCTAATAACAATGCGGAAGTTGCTTTTAAATGTAAGGAATGAGATAAATTTGTTTACTAATGGAGTGGATGTAGTGGTTGAGTACTACATGTAAATATAAGTCTAAAGGGCTTTTGGTAAATGAAAAAATCTTAATCTGAGTGGGGAGGGAATGAGAACAAGTTGTATCCGATAGATCAGTTCGTGTTTATAAGTGGTTACTACATTTAATTAACGTATACCTGTAACAAAACGCGACCAGCAGATTGTCGTTTTAAATAGTAATTTGTTTCTCAGACCAGAATATTCCTGAAGGACTTGTAAAATGACTTGTCGGTGACATAAGTTTATACAATATTTGTCAACATTATTTAACAGGAACACGTTTGTTAGCCGAGGTTGTTGACGGAATGTATTATACCTGTAAACAAACACGACACAACGCCCAGTCTGTGTACTGTGTACTTATATACTTGTAATAACAATGCTTTAGTCAAAATAAGGGAAAAACATATTCCGGCCTATTATTATACAAGTCCAAACCAACATATAATGAAAGGAATGTTCACAATTTTTAATATGAAATTGTTCAAAAGTGTAAGCTTATTTGTTCAAAAATTAACAAAAATACTATAGTGTCTCTATTTTATAATATTTTTTTCTTTTTTGCTAGTGACATTTTATATACGTTGAACACTGAATTATTTGTATGTAACTACACGTATATATATTATTATGTACTATGCTATGATATAGAACGTTTGCCTGTCATGCACTCTAACTATGTTATATATACATGACCTCTTGTTACACACATTTATGTGTGTCTGAGTGAAATAAAAATCTTAAAAAAAATCTTGGGTATACACCGCGTGTCAAGAATTGTATACATGTACGTGCGTAACGACAGGTCAGATATTACACAGTATTCATTAATGGACATAGTTCACACATAATATGACACATGATACAATATATATAATAACAACCTATTTTAAAAGTTCTTGGAGTTAACATATTTCAGATATTAAGAAGCTTCATTAATATAGTTACTTGTGTTAAAAGTACCGTGTTACATATTGAGAACATTCCTTTCATTTTAATATAAGTTGGGTTGACATAATAATAATTTGGTATATACAGTTGTCTAAAAGTTACAACAGATATATTATATACAATAATAATAATAATAAATAATTAGTACATCGGTATAAATAGTGGTATTCGTCCCCAACACAGTTATTACATAGGGGACATAACCTTTCCTCGCGATGGTCTCTATTCCATCTTCCTGTTTCTATAGGAAATTTTATATTTTATCTTCGTTCATTACGACTAAGTCTTAAGTCAGTGATAGACTCTCAACGTTCGTTGTATAGATGCTATTGATACTAGTATACTATTATTTAATGCTTAACGGTCCATCAACACAGGATAGGTCATTAGGGCCAACAAATTGTCGACAAAAGCAATTGCAAAATAAAAACATCAAACAAACTTAAAGGTACAAAATAAACGCCAACTTGACCATTGAAAGTGGCTATGGTGACTCATATTTTATTCAAAAAACCAACAGCTTTCAGATAACCTAACATTGAAGAGACAGGGTTTTTTTCGAAAAAAGATATATGATGTAAATTAATGTTATTATAGAAATTTTCTCGAGGTGACTGAAGGTCGACACAATCGAAAAACGAGTGTTTTATTGTAAATGGTTGATGACATGCTACATATGCATTGAGGCTGGTCATGTAGCATTGAGGCTGGCCATGTAGCATTGAGGCTAGCCTTGTAGCATTGAGGCTGGCCATGTAACATTGAGGCTGGCCTTGTAGCATTGAGGCTGGCCTTGTAGCATTTAGGCTGGCCTTGTAGCATTGAGGCTGGCCCTGTAGCATTGGGGCTGGCCATGTAGCATTGAGGCTGGCCTTATAGCATTGAGGCTGGCCATGTAGCATTGACGCTGGCCTTGTAGCATTGAGGCTGGCCATTTAGCATTGATGCTGGCCATGTAGCATTGAGGCTGGCCCTGTAGCATTGAGGCTAGCCTTGTAGCATTGACGCTGGCCATGTAACATTGAGGCTGGCCTTGTAGCATTTAGGCTGGCCTTGTAGCATTGAGGCTGGCCTTTTAGCATTGAGGCTGGCCATGTAGCATTGAGGGTGGCCTTGTAGCATTGAGGCTGGCCATGTAGCATTGAGGGTGGCCTTGTAGCATTGAGGCTGGCCATGTAACGTTGAGGCTGGCCTTGTAGCATTGAGGCTGGGCATGTAGCATTGAGGCTGGCCTTGTAGCATTGGGGCTGGCCTTGTAGCATTGAGGCTGGCCTTTTAGCATTGAGGCTGGCCATGTAGCATTGGGGCTGGCCTTGTAGCATTGAGGCTGGCCTTGTAACATTGAGGCTGGCCATGTAGCGTTGAGGCTAGCCTTGTAGCATTGAGGCTGGCCATGCAACATTGAGGCTGGCCTTGTAGCATTGGGGCTGGCCTTGTAGCATTGAGGCTGGCCTTGTAACATTGAGGCTGGCCTTGTAGCATTAAGGCTGGCCTTGTAGCATTGAGGCTGGTCATGTAGCATTGAGGCTGTCCTTGTAGCATTGAGGCTGGTCATGTAGCATTAAGGCTGGCCTTGTAGCATTGAGGCTGGTCATGTAGCATTAAGGCTGGCCTTGTAGCATTGAGGCTGGTCTTTTAGCATTGAGGCTGGCCTTGTAGCATTGAGGTTGGCCTTGTAGCATTGAGGCTGGCCATGTAGCATTGTGGCTGGCCTTGTAGCATTGAGGCTGGCCTTTTAGCATTGAGGCTGGCCATGTAGCATTGAGGCTGGCCTTGTAGCATTGAGGCTGGCCTTCACGTTTCAGTCAACAACGTTACTATGGTTAATGTATGAATGACCCATCGATAAAAGGGCAAGGACAACCTCGACTCGGCACCTCTATCGTACATTAATATACATGTACCTAGAATACCATTCCCCGAGTTCAGGTTTAACAGAGTGTACTTTGTTATCTACGCATTGGTTCCAGTTATTATGTAACCCTGAGATCTACTGGGACCACCTGTAAGTAAGGCTGTAACCGGTGTAAATACAGTATTATATTTCTTTTCTTAATACTTAACATATCAGGACATAAGTTTAATTTAATTTAATACAACACCAAAATGCTACAAAATAGTCAAATACCGAACCAGTGACTAAATAATTATACAGGAATCGCCATTTTCCTTCCAACCTCTAACATTAATAAAACTACATCAAGTTTATTTGACAAAATTAGTGTAATTTGGGTTTTCGTTTCATTTACAATGTGCCTTTAACTAATAATAATATAAGCTGCTGACCATCAACATATACAGTAAAGCCTGAAGTGAGGTTTGGCCAAAGAAGGCGCTAAGAAACAAAGGGTACTTAGCAATAAAAATGATCTGACACTGAAATACTACGTATTGTGAGTACTGTGATTTACAGGAATAGGTTTACGTAAACTAACACGATGTTCTACTGTGATTTACAGGAATAAGTTTACGTAAACTGACACGATGTTCTACTGTCATTTACAGGAATAAGTTAACGTAAACTGACACGATGTTCTACTGTCATTTACAGGAATAAGTTTACGTAAACTGACACGATGTTCTACTGTGATTTACAGGAAAAAGTTTACGTAAACTGACACGATGTTCTACTGTTATTTACTATCACATTTATAACGTACATTTTGTCCGTTAGTATCTTAAAAGACCTTTCTGTTGGGTTCACGAAACGAGTCTAAAAGAATCACTTTAAATGGCTGTTAACAAGCTAAAACGTTAAAAAGCCGTAGAATTACAAATCTCGTATGAAATAGAAACGAATTTGAGATCATTTTAACGCACGATCTATGAAAATTACGAAAACAATTTTCAATCTCATTCTGGTCTTCCTCAGTTTTCTCCATTGTGACGTCAATATATCATCTGGAAGTCTGTGATGTCACAGTAGATCGAATAACCCAAGTTTATATGGAACATGTATATGACGCTGGTGGATTTCACGAAGCAACCACGTGATAACAATATATAGTATACATGCAATATATTAAAGCATGGTAAACGTCGAACTCAAAATATCAGTTGAGTAATACTATAGAAATATAACAATATCTTTAGCTTTAAACCAGTCTGTTGAACGCGGAAAAAACGCAATGTACATAGATTATGACAATACGTACGTATACTTAAGGCCGAACGACCTGGGCCCGAACGACCTGGGCCCGAATCATGAAACCGTTCTCATGCTCGAACTCCGATTCTGTGCTCAAGCCCAATTTCTTGTTCCGGAGATAAATAAATGAAGAACCACATGTTGTCTGTGATTTAGAAGAATCCTGGAGAGACATTTGGCAGAAAGCTGTTTAAAATGTTTGCGCTTGACGTTATTACCGTTTTACAAGATTTAAGCGAGTTACAAGCAAGCTGGTTTGAGCACAGAATCCATACTTGAGCATGAGAACAGTTTCATAAATACGGGCCCAGGACCCGTAATCGTGAAACACTTCTCATCCTGGTCATGGGTTCTGTGCTCAAAATTACTCTTTGTGTTACCCTCTTCAATCTGTTGACACGGTTAAAAGGCAAGGTTTAAATATTAAAAATTTGATATCGTCTTTAATTCTCTTTGTCAAAGTCATTAACAAGTTGCCTTTTTAAATACTATTTGTTAATATTTATCACTTAAACAAGAACTTTGGCTTCTGCGCAGAATTTCACTCTGAGCATGAGAACGGTTTCATTAATACGGGCCTTGAAGTACAGGTTTTATACAGAATACACATACAGTGTACTTATATACAGGTGGAGTTAAAGCTGAGGGTCGATACTATGGATTGACGTGGATTACCACACTAACGCGGGGAATTAACAGCTGACATGGACTCCCAACTACCACCACTCAACAATAAAAAGGTAAGACGCGCAATAATTGTAATCCGGTAATCCGGACACGTAACAATCCCCTGATTGTAGTTACTTATACGGTGTAGTCCGGTAATCCGGCCACGGAACTATCACCTCAGATTGTATTGACTTTTACGGTGTAGTCTGGTAATCCGGACAAGTAACAATCAGGTCCGGTTGAAGTTACTTATACGGTGCAGGTGCAGTTCGGTAATTCGGACACGAAACAATCAGCTCGGATTGTAGTTACTTATACGGTGTAGTCTGGTAATCCGGACAAGTAACAATCAGGTCCGGTTGAAGTTACGTATACGGTGCTGTTCGGTAATCCGGACACGAAACAATCAGCTCGGATTGTAGCTACTTATACGGTGTAGTCCAGTAATCCGGACAAGTAACAATCAGGTCCGGTTGAAGTTACTTATACGGTGTAGTCTCGGTAATCCGAACACGGAACAAACAGCTCGGATTGTAGTTACGTATACGGTGTAGTCCGATAATCCGAACTCCAGGGCCCGTATTTATAAAACCGTTCTAATGCTCAAACATGGATTTTATTCTCAAGCCATTTTTTTGTTTTGTTTAATAATTATCGATAAAATTGTATGTTGTCAATGAAGTGAGGAAAAAAATCAAAATACTTCAAGCCAAAAACTGTTTAAATGTTTTGATTTTACATTTTTATTGTTTAACATACTTAAGTTATAAATTAGTTAAAAAGAACATTGGTTAGAACACGATATCCGTGCATAAGAACGGTTTTATGATTACAGGCCTATATCAATTTTATAAATGCTGAAATTGTGTAAAATTAATTCTCTATACACGATATAAAAATTGACATTTTATAATAAAACCATATACTCATAGTAATTGCAGGTTAGAGTTATCGTTCTTGAAAAACTTGACAGTAGTGAAATAGGTAGCCGGTTTCCTGAAGTACAGAAAAATGGACACATGCGACTCATTGATAAAAAAAACCCCTGAATTAATGCCTGGATTGCTTTGAAATACTTTAATATTGAGAGAACACACTGTTATGTCAATAATAAACATACAATATTCATCAGTTTAATATTAAACATTAGAATTTGCGGAAATTGTGATGCTGTCTCCCTACATTGGTTATTCAACTAGGGATGTACTGCCTGTTTCCGTTTATCAATACACTCTAATGACCTTAACTAGTGATTAAGGAAATTTTAACATATGAACAACAAAATCAAGAAAATCTTATATCATTCACTGCTGTATGTTTTGTTAAAACATATCAGATTGATGTGTTTTGAATATTAATTTTGCTTTGAATCCATTGATACTTTTTGACATCAAAAAGTTCTTCAACGTTTGACCAAAAGGGGACTGAATACTAGCGGTTCGGGCCGGCTTTCTGTTATTTCTCTAGGGGTTATTCGTTTCAGCTAGATTAAATCTATTTTTTTTACAACTTTGATGAAACAAGTTTTCTTCAATAATATTGATCACTTCTATTGGCCCGACAGTAAGCCCTCGGTAGGTCTTTTTGTGGAAGGAAACCGGGCGTAACCGGAGAAAAACCCATGATGTCTCAGAGGTGACCCCAAGTACCTTTTCACATCCAATCGGAGAATCGAACTCCTGCCGTTTTAGTGAAAGGCTAGTGCGTTATCCATTGCGACCCAACTACTCTCCTATAATTGTAGTGGCTATTACAATGATATTGTAACTTTATATCGCTCGTCTTATGCTGTGCGTTGTTATGTAGCAAATTGACAGTTATTCTGTATGAAACAGTGTCTGACACATACTTGTAACACGCAGGGTTCCCGGACACTTTGTAGGAATATGACTGAATGAGGGAAGACGCAAGTGACTGAATTTGTAAAAGATAAATGGTTGATTATACGTGTACCTGCTCACACATTGACAAGACCTAATGCTATCGGAAACAGTTCAGAAATACATTACTAATATGCGTTTCCTAATATCTAACAGGATATTATGGACATTGATTCTTTGTAATAAGTTCAATTCCGTCTTTGCGTATTGCAGAGTTATCTTCTCTTGTGAGCAAGAATTGATTGTTACGTCATTGTTTTGAGTGGGAAAATTACGTCGTTTTCTCAAAAATTGATGACGTTACTCTCACAAACCAATGACGTAACAATCAATACCTGCTCAAAAGAGAAGAAAACTCTGCAATACGCAAAGACGGACTAGGCACTATCGACAAAAAGCTTTACAATCGACAGGTTTTACAAAAATGTCGCGTTTATGTAACAGTAGAGAACTATGACTGGTTACGAACTAGTATACTGTTGCGTTTCCTTTTTTCAGAAAAAGGGTAGGGCGCCCTTATTAAGACATGCGCCTTTATTAGGTCAAATACGGTATTTGCCAGATACAAAACCAATATGACGAGACAAAAATGTCTCCAGCAGTTGACAGAAACCATGATATAGTCAATCCCATGGGTTTTAAACGTACATTTACAGTATAGGGATAATAGCCCTTCTAGTGCATCTCAGGTTATCTTCCAGCCAAGCGTTTACAATACCCTGTGGTCCGTTCGTATTGACCACACTAATACCACCACAATACGTATACATCGATACACTCCACGGTTGTGAAAATAAGTTATCTGCCTCTCACTTGGACGATCGGGGCACAGTACCCAGACACAGCAAGACATTGTGATCAAGTACAATTGATAGTCTTCATACACCCCCCCCCTGATAGGGTTCTACATTTAATGACGTGCCTCCATGTGTGTTGTGGATGCGTGCATGTGTGTATGAGACAGGGTATGTTGATGTACTTGCCTCCTTGTGATAGCGCGGATCTGATGTCGACTTTATAGTGCTATCTCAATGAAATACCACGCCGAAGGCAACAATCACAGCAGTCAGCCCGGTCACATTGAACTGTCGGTACTTCGTTTTCAGTGGCGATACTGGCTATTACAACAGATTGGTTTGGTTTGGTTTAGTATTGTTTAATGTCCTATCAACAGCTTTGGTCATTTAAGGATGGCTAAAGGTTTGAATCTTGAGCACATTTAAAAAAAGTTTCTTTCCTCGAACTTTTGAAGATCAAAGAGAAATCAACGACACCGCTTTCCCGACATGGCACACATGGAATTTATAGCTACCATCAAACTTTAACTTGACAGTTTTGTTCGTTGTCTGTAAACCAATCCGTGTGGGACATCATAGGGGCTTACATAGCAAATGTCATGGTAGGGTCACGTAGAAATTATCCTGGAAGTTATCGTGGAGGGATTACATAGAAATTGTCATGGTAGGGTCACGTAGAAATTATCATGGAAGTTATCGTGGAGGGCTTACATAGAAATTGTTATGGTAGGGTTACGTAGAAATTATCATGGAAGTTACCGTGGAGGGCTTACATAGAAATTGACATGGTAGGGTCACGTAGAAATTACCCTGGAAGCTACCGTGGAGGGCTTACACAGAAATTGTCATGGTAGGGTCACGTAGAAATTATCCTGGAAGCTACCGTAGAGGGCTTACACAGAAATTGGCATGGTAGGGTCACATAGAAATTATCATGGAAGTTACCGTGGAGGGCTTACACAGAAATTGTCATGGTAGGGTCACGTAGAAATTATCATGGAAGTTACCGCGGAGGGCTTACATAGAAATTGGCATGGTAGCCTTCATTGAAGGCTTACGCATAAGTTAAACTGGTACACTGATATTACCATAGATGAATTACACACAAATGATAGTTACATCTAAAATGTTTGATGGAAAGCTTACATAGAAGTTATCATGAAACCTGACATAGAAGTTATTTTAAAAACTTACACAAAAGTTAGCATAACAGCTTACATAACAGTTATCATAACAGCTTACATAGAAGTTATCATGAAACCTGACATAGAAGTTATCAAAACAACTTACATAGAAGTTTTCATGAAACCTGACACAGCAGTTATCATGAAACCTGACACAGCAGTTATCATAACAACTTACAAAGAAGTTATCATAACAGCTTACATAACAGTTATCATAACAGCTTACACAACAATTATCATAACAACTTACACAACAGTTATCATTACAGATTACACAGAAGTTTTCATAACAGCTTACAAAGCAGTTATCATAAAAGCTTACACAGAAGTTATCATAACAACTTACAAAGAAGTTATCATAACAGCTAACATAACAGTTATCATAACAGCTTACACAACAATTATCATAACAACTTACACAACAGTTATCATTACAGATTACACAGAAGTTTTCATAACAGCTTACAAAGCAGTTATCATAAAAGCTTACACAGAAGTTAGCATAACAGCTTACACAGAAGTTAGCATAAAAGCTTACACAGAAGTTTTCATAACAGCTAACACAGCAGTTATCACAACAGCTTACACAGAAGTTATCATAACAGCTTACACAGAAGTTATCATAACATCTTACACAGCAGTTATCATAAAAGCTTACACAGAAGTTATCATAACAACTTACACAGAAGTTATCATAAAAACTTAGATGGAAGTTATTATAAAAGCTTACACAGTAGTTATCATAAAAGCTAACACAAATGTTATCATAATAGCTTACACAACAGTTATCATAACAGCTTACACAGCAGTTATCATAAAAGCTTTCACAGAAGTTATCATAACAGCTTACACAGCAGTCATCATAAAAGCTTACACAGAAGTTATCATAACAGCTTACACAGCAGTTATCATAAAAGCTTACACAGCAGTTATCATTAAAGCTTACACAGAAGTTATCATAACAGCTTACACAGAAGTTATCATAACAGCTTACACAGAAGTTATCATAACAGCTTACACATAAGTTATCATAACAGCTTACACAGGAGTTATCATAACAGCTTACACCGGAGTTAACATTACAGCTTACACAGAAGTTATCGTAACAGCTTACACAGAAGTTATCACAACAGCTTACACAGAAGTTATCATAAAAGCTTTTATAGCAGTTATCATAACTGCTGTGTAAGCTTTTATGATAACTACTGTGTAAGCTGTTATGATAACAGCTTACACAGTAGTTATCATAAAAGCTTACACAGCAGTTATCATAACAGCTTACACAGAAATTATCATAACAGCTTACACAGGAGTTAACATTACAGCTTACACAGAAATTGTCATGGTAGGGTCACGTAGAAATTACCCTGGAAGCTACCGTGGAGGGCTTACACAGAAATTAGCAGAACAGCTTACACAGGAGTTATCATAACAGCTTACACAGTAGTTATCATAAAAGCTTACACAGCAGTTATCATAAAAGCTTACACAGAAGTTTTCATAACAGCTAACACAGCAGTTATCATAACAGCTTACACATTAGATAACACAGGAGGGCATCGAATACGAAGTGGTAAGGTCAGACCACTAATTAAGTGAAAATTAATTAAGTCTTTGCAAAACATGAATGTACAGCATGTAGTCGCTTCACTGTTGTATAGAACACACATTTATTGTAAACACAAGTGAATAACATAATATTTATATCCATTTGCTGATTTGTATTCACAGAAACATGTGTATGTGAAGGTGGTGTTCCTCAAGGTGGGCGAGATAGACACGATCAAAGAGAACTTCGCAGCAGATGTTTTCATACAGGCAAGATGGCGGGAGTCTCAACTGGACAACACGACGGTAAGACAGACGCAACAGGACGGTAAGACAGACGCAACAGGACGGTAAGACAGACACAACAGGACGGTAAGACAGACACAACAGGACAGTAAGCCAGACGCATTAGAACGTTAAGACAAACACAATAGGACGGTAAGACAGATGCAACAGTGCGGTAAGACAGACGCAACAGGACGTTAAAGCAGACGCAACATGACAGTCAGACAAACACGACAGGATAGTAAGACAAACACAACAGAACGGTAAGACAGACACAACAGGATGGTAGAATAGACGTACTAAAGTAATGATACATTATTGTTAGACTACGTTTTATTTCTTTACTTATTATAGTTTCCAAAATGATGATAACGAAAACTAATAAGTATCAAATGGGAAACTATTTTCTAAAATGAAACTAATGGCTGCAATTTTAGCTAAAGAAATCAAAGTAGCTTCACAGGTCTACTTGTTGTAAACATACAATTGCCCAGGGCCGTACTTCATGTAAAGTTGTGTGATGTGACACCATGGCTACCTACATTAAAGTTACATGCTACATAACAATTATACTATCTTCTTTATAAAAGAGTTTCAACCTTTGAAATCTGTCAAACATGTTTGTAAACAAATTACTTGTTAGTTAAGGACGATTTGGAAGGTACACAACAATGCTGATATTATTTTTTTTCGCGAAATTGTTAATGGGTTTAATGAAAAGATTTTCAAAGAAGATTTAAGGTTAGATATACCCTTGATAAAAGCCACAGTTAATTTTGTTACATAAATCTTAGTTACATGAAACAGCTCTGCAACAATAAAGAGATGCGAGGTCTAACAACAACGGTAAGGGACACCAACACGTGGTAATACATCTAACAAACTGAGCGATACACAGGTTAAACACTTCTCATATGTAATCTGTTACGGCACTTTATGAATCTCATCTCAGCAGAAAGTACTGACATAGTGTGTTACTTAGGTAGCATACATTTGTACAAACTCAATTGTACCAGAATCAAATATATAAGATCATTACTATGTAAGTGACATGTCTACAAAATAAGCATAAATAAGCGTATACTTTTATCAATAACACGAATTCGAAATGCACAGTGTATAGCGGTAGGTACTTTTTTACAATGAATTAATAACAGGTTTATTGTGTTAGGTGACGTATACTCTTTACTTTAAACACAAATGAAATAGAAGTAACAATGTTAAGGCTCATATTTTCCAGATTGTTTTTATTATAAAACCCTGAATCTACTTTACGTCAAATTAATTTTAATATTCCTTTTTTGCTACTTTGTGAAGAAATATAGCATGTTTGTGTATATCATATTAAAATGCTAATTTTGAGCCCAGTGACATTTATTTTTTATTTGCTTATAATAACTAGGAAGACGTCACTAACTTAAAACTGACGCCAATGTGTATGTGATTAAGATAACAAGACAGTTTGATGTAGCCGGATCCTCTCCACTGTAACCCCTGGTAACCCTTTGTATGTATGTCAGGTGTCGGAAAAGGACCTGTCCCAGTTTTGGTGTCCCCGCCTCCTCGTCCACAACGTCATGGATGCGTCCAAAGACCGCACGTGGCGGGAGCTTGTCCACGACAAGGGAGGCGCGGCGTACGTGGTGGAGAAACGTCGCATTAAGGGACATTTCTCGGAGAAACTAGAACTGATGGATTTCCCCTTCGATTACCAGGTAGACTGAATGGAGCTGGCGTTTGTATTATACATCGTATGTGGTAAAATGTTAGATGTCTGGGTGGGAGCTGTTGGGTGGACTATTTTGTTACATTGTATTTGTGTACAGACAAATATACCCATAGTCCAGAATACCTTTACTGGATCATCAACGATGTCTTATCATCTTATCTCTCTACATCGTCCCATTCATCATTGGCAATCGCAGTCACATACGGGCATTTTGCCTCGTTCTGACCGGGAGTCCATTATTTCTGTCACTTTATAGTTTATGGATTGACTCTTTCACCCGTAAAGACACATTTAAACTCTCTAATCGAAAGGTTGGAATAGTTCATTATGAAATTTCAGGTGTAAATTAGTTCCCTCCCCTGACAAAGTCTAACTGATCCATGTTAAACGTTCCGTACCGGTGAGAACTTGTTAGCCAGTCGTCAGTATGATGTCAAATGGAGAGCTCAGGCTATGACATTTCAGGGAGACGGCACTTTAAAATGAAGCGTTTTAATACGCTGAATTTGTTGAGTTTTAAGCATGAATTTATCCGTCGGGGTTTGGGGAAACTGCTTTCGCTGGCAATGTATAGCCACTGAGTCATTGCTTTGAGTGCCCCCTTCTGCGTCAAAAATAAAATGTCCACTAATATTAAGTCTCGTTCTGACCCCAGAGCCTGAGCCTGCAGATCACGTCAGAGCTTCCGGATAGTAAGGTTGCTATTCACGAGGACAACAAAGAAATCAGCGCCATCAACGTCACGTGCTTCGTGGACGAGCAGGAGTGGTTCTTATACGACTATGTCGAGTCCGTCCAGGAGGTAAGTCCCGTATGTGGGGTGGGGGAGGGGAGATATACGTAGTTCTTTATCAGTCCCTTCTATGTGGAAAGTGTTGGCTTCGAATACCTATGTTGTGTGCCTGTATTTCAGTGAAATAACGCAACGGGACATAGGGACCTAATATTTTGTACTGTTTTCCTCGCTGTACAAGTATGCACGGTATTTATCGCTGTGTATGTATGTACGTATATTTCATCATTGTGGAGGGCATATTTGTTGAAAATCCACCTAAACCCACAAAACGTGTAAACTTACTGAACACCAGCCGTTTATAGGACGTGAAACCTTCAAAACTAAACAAAGTAAAATTCATGGTGGTATAGAAAGAAAGGTCAATGAGTGCGACGAGATTGTGTCGTTATCTTGATTAATGTTATATTCCCTGTATTGTATTGGTAACGTTAAAGGTTATCAGACGTCGTTAGAGGAGACATGACGTCGGTTAGTGTTATTGATGTAATGTCACTAACGTGTAATCCAGTGTTTTATTGGCCCTTCACCAGGTGTCGACGAAAGAGTTCTCTGCCAAGAAGCACATCCAGTTCCCGTGGCTCGTGGTGGGCTGTTGTGCCGTGCGGCGGGCAGGATTTTTTGCCTGGAATGTTATCCTTATAATGGTAGGCGAACTTTGAACCATGACATCAGATCATCGCTAGGTGTTGTCGCCAATTAAAGGTAAACTGATGTTTCACTTTTGATACAAGATACAAGTAACTTTATTTAACGTCGCATACAGGTAAACAAGGAACATTAGCTCTTGAGAGCTATTATTGCGATAAACATATGTAAAATAACAATAACATATTATATTACAAGTAAAGGGAGATAATCGCATATATTAATAAAAAACAGTAATAATCATCACAGAAAAAGAAAGTATCCATATCCCAGGTTTTCTAAGTGATTGAGACTCCCCTACCTACAAATGCCCCCGGGATATGACCCTTTTGGAACAATAAATATAGAAAAGAATAGATATATTTAAAAATAGTGTTAATATAAGAAAAGCATTAAATTTGATCACAGGTAAGTAGTATTCATAATAAGTAAATAAAAGACATAGTTAATAGTGAATGAATACACTATGAAGTGGAATATACATACATGCTAATATAGCAAAGAATAAAAATTGACAGAATATAGTCACTATTATACAGAAATCAATTTCAGTTTTGTAGAAAAATATATTTTAGAGTAAAATACCAATAAGATGCTGCAAAAATATAGAATATAATTAAATCATATCAGAAATGAAATAAGACAATAAAAGTATCACATAATCCAAAATGTCCGGTGGCAGAGGTAACCAGGGCACAGTATGAAGTATCACTCTTTGCAGATATTGCAAAGGCAGATGGGGCCATCCCAGGAATGGACCAGCCTCCTGAATTCTTTGATTTTTTCAACTTTTCGGAAGTCATTTGGGAGACTGTTCCACACCCGGGCGGCCTCAAAAGCAAACGATTTATGTCCATACTTCACTGTGTTGACCCTGGGCACCTCTGCAGTATTTTCGTTCCTGAAGTCATAATTAGACATCTTAATATTTACAAGATTATGAATATATTCAGGAGAAATTTTGTTTATAATTTTAAAAACCTCACAAACCATTTCCTTCAGACGTCTTACATGAAGCCTGTCGCTGTTGGTAATACTGAGTAAGGATGAATTGTGATCATTATGTATAAACATTAAAGCTCTTCTTTGTATCTTTTCTAGCTTTCTGACACTCTTCGTGGAACAAGAGTGCCAGACTAAAGGACAGTAGTTAAAATCTGAAACAATAAAAGAATTATAAATTACAAGTGTACCTTGTTTGGTTAAAAAACTCCCAATTCGCATTAAAATGGACAATTGCCTTGAGGCTTTCCTACAAATTTCAGAGATATGAGCTTCAAATTTTAAAAATTAATCCAAGTGCACACCTAAAAGTTTGACCACACTGTCAGGAACAATATCGTTTTCGCCAATACTAAAAGACTGTATAGCATCTACCGAACGTTTCCCTATACAAATGGCCTGGAATTTATCAGGGTTTGTTTTCATCTGGTTTAACTAACACCAGTCTATTAAATTTTGACAGTCATTATTTAACATTTCGATGTAATGATAATGTTCTAGTCATCAGCTGCTGACATTATACATGTCGCCTTATCACGGTTCATAGACGGGTAACGCCAGTCAACTTTAGTCGGCTACATATGCAGCTTCTGGTATTTGACGTCGGATCATTAACTTATACATTTGACCATGAGTGTTGATCTCAACTTTCGTCCTTGTTAAAAAGTGTTTCAGATAAAATTTGGACTCGACTCATGTCGTTAAAACACAGACTGTAACATCTGCATACACGTACAAGTATATACATCTATCGCAACAGAGCAGCAACATCCTGGAAGTTCAAGGGGTTGCGCTAACCTACGTTTTCTGCACCTATGAAATATTACTTGACAAAATCGAAGGCAGGCAGCTAGCTATTTAATTGGTTGCAGGTTAAGACACTGACCAATTGCTAGGCTGATACATGTTATTTAAAGATATAAGGAAAGGACACACTGTTTCAAAGACAGTCAATTCTACCGTTACAACGCCGCACGATTCTTTTAATGTACATTATAATAAATAATACTATGATGTTCTTATATACCGCCTTATCAGAACATACGTCAAAGTTCGTCTCAAAGCGGTTCACAAATCATTATCCGTGGTTATAGGGCCTTTGCAACTAGCCATTATCTTCTCAACTCCATGGGGAGCATACAGCCGGTGCTGCCATTTCGGCGCACACAGCTAGCATTCAACAATTCTAGCACTGCACAACCACGTACTCATTTTCAGCCGAGTAGACTGGAACAAACGGAGTAAAGTATCTTGCTCAAATATACAACACAGTGCCGTGCCATGCCGTAACTCTAACTAGCAACCCTTCGGTCACGAGCCCGACGTCCTAAAACTAGACGACCGTGCCTCGTACATCAAACGATCAAACTAGTCTTCTTGTATCATCGAAAGGTGGCGCATACGGAGCATTAGTTTTGTCATATTTCATGGATGCAGAAAACGTAAGAAAACACACCTCTGTGGAATTGTGGAGATGGCGCAGCAGGTTTATAGACTATACACTTTCTTTCCTATCTTACAGACTTTGATCAGCTCGATTTCGCTGGCGACGTTCGCCGTGGACCGGTCACTGCCTCAGAATCGTCTCCAGCTGTCCATCACACTCATGTTGACCAGTGTGACTTTTAAGTCCGTAGCGAGTGCCAACATTCCCAAGATCTCTTACTACACACACCTGGTAGGTAATTCTCGTAAGCCCGTACGTACTATACACAAAGATATTACGTACTGCATATACAAAAACAAATGTGTACGTACAGATCACAAACCAGTTGCATACTGCGCAAATAAACGTTGTATATAACACAACCCACAAACTATTCGCATAGAAAGCGTATATCACGTATATACCTGTATATGAACTTTTCTACACACATTTACTTTTTTTAAAAACGAAATATACGTTTCTATAGTTCAGGTGATAGGTGATGTTTTGTAGTAGAAAAATTATATTTCTTGACTTCCTATAGCTAGAAGTCTTTACCACCATCAGTTGACCAAATTGACACACGAAATTGCTTTCTAAACTGCAAAGCCCTATTACTGTGTAATCAAATATTTTTGTGAGGCCTACATTTCCCGACAACGAGTTCCCACCTTAACAGAGAATTGCTTCATAACAAACTTGTAATTACTTCGTGGACCTATGAATTCTTTGATGAAGACTACCTATGAAATCAAGGAAACTAAAAACACAACAAAGTAGCTGTAATAAATTAGAGTTTAACATTTGACATAGCTTTCACACATGAGTAAATCTGTTTATAAGCAATGGTTGGATTTTACTTACAGGACAGATACGTTTTATTTGGATTGCTGTTTACATACGTAGTTTGTATATGGCACGCAGTCATCTCGAGATTTACCTATGACGTCACACTTGGTGCTTTATTGGACTTCTGGGCGTTCATGTCATTCGTCATCGTCTTCATCCTTTTCCACACCATGTACGGGGGATTCATAGCTGTACAGGTATGTATGTACATATATTTCCTCGCTGTACATGTATGTACGGGGGATTCCTCACTGTACAGGTATGTACAGGTATTTCCTCGCTGTATATGTATGTACGGGGGATTCCTCACTGTACATGTATGTACGGGGGATTCCTCACTGTACAGGTATGTACAGATATTTCCTCGCTGTACAGGTATGTGCGGGGGATTCCTCACTGTACAGGTATGTACAGATATTTCCTCGCTGTACAGGTATGTACGGGGGATTCCTCACTGTACATGTATGTACGGGGGATTCCTCACTGTACAGGTATGTACGGGGGATTCCTCACTGTACAGTTTTGTACAGATATTTCCTCGCTGTACATGTATGTACGGGGGATTCCTCACTGTACAGGTATGTACGGGAATTCCTCACTGTACAGGTATGTAGGGGAATTCCTCACTGTACAGGTATGTACAGCTATTTCCTCGCTGTATATGTATGTGCGGGGGATTCCTCACTGTACATGTATGTACGGGGGATTCCTCACTGTATAGGTATGTGCAGATATTTCCTCGCTGTAAATGTATGTACGGGGGATTCCTTACTGTACAGGTATGTACAGATATTTCCTCGCTGTACAGGTATGTACGGGGGATTCCTCACTGTACATGTATGTACGGGGGATTCCTCACTGTAAATGTATGTACGGGGGATTCATCACTGTACAGGTATGTGCGGGGATTCGTTGCTGTACATGTATGTACGGGAAAATCCTCACTGTACTGGTATGTACGGGGAATTCCTCACTGTCCATGTATGTTCGGGGATTCCTTGCTGTACAGGTATATACGGGGAATTCCACACTGTACAGGTATGTCCGGGGGTTCAAATAAAAAAAGATGCATACCACTATGAAAGGTATACGCTTTTGGTATCGCATTGATAAACTTTCAACTATAGTCTAAATGTTTACATTTGCTCTGCAGTAAAAGATAAGACAAGTTTGTTTTGGGAAGGATAAATAAACCGTTTGTCTGTATACTTAGAAAAAATAAAAGTAAGATTTTACTACTCTGACGTCGGTAATCGTGAAAACAGCGACATATGATGGATAGTATTTTACAAATTAATCAACAATTTTCTGCCTTTTTCCAGTATTTACTGAGACAAAAAGAAGTGAGAGCAAAGGAAGTGAAATACGAGGTACGTATCAAGGTAAACCATGATGATCGCCGGCTTAACGTCCTGTGCCGTTTTAATTACAGACGCCAGGTACTGGCCATAGGTCGGTGTTTTTCCTCCGGGAACACCTGCTTTCCTACACCACCAAAACCTGGCACGTCCTGAAATGACCATAGTTGCCAATAGGACGTAAAACACCAATACGACGAACAAGGAACGGATGCGGACATACCTAAATGTAAAAGTCCGATATGACTAGTCCACGTAAAGATCAACCCGACAGGCTATGTTGTTCTGAGTATACGTAATCTATATTTTAGAAAGAGCTGGTATTGTGTTGTTGGGATTTTTACGATCATACGGCAGTTATTTTTGTTTTTTAGGATTAAAAGTGATGTTTAGACAGGATGAATCTTTGCCAAAAAAACCCATATAAAACTGGTCTTAGATAATATAACCTAAAAAACAAGAGATGTTGGAAAACAGCATAGCTCGCCTATTGGTGATATATGTTGTAAGATATAGCAAAAATCAATAGAAACAAATGTACAGTAAAACCTTGATATAATGCCCGTCATTTCATTTACCACCTCGCTTACCGCCAACACATTTTCAGGTCCATTAATTATGTTTTTCTTAATAATGCCTTATACATTTGACTCAATTTATCGCCAAACCCATTTATAAGGCCAACATTTCTTTGAACAAATGATGGTAATATAACAAAGGTTTTGCTGTACCTCAACATGTAAGAAGAGATAACCCGCCAACGTGAAATAGTCAACAGCGTATTGATCATGGTGACCGATCCAACACTGCACAAAAAAAATTGCCCAAAAACTTTAACCAAGTCCAACTAACCAGTTTTGGCCGCTAGAATAATGAAATATAATTCAGTACATTGCTTACACTCCATATGAATTATCCAACCTTATTATAGACAACAGCCTATTGATAATGGTTATCCAACACTTCACAAAAATAAACTTGCCTCAAAACTTTAACAAAGTCCAATTAAGCTGCTTTTGTCCCCTCGAATATGAAAATATGGTCTGGCACATTGCTTACATTCGATAAGAATGCTTTAACCTCTTAATAGACAACTATGTATTGAATGTGATGATCCAACACTGTCTGAAAAAAAACTTTAACCTCGGAAGGTGGGAGCCGACGCCGGGCTGACTACACTAGGCTATCAAAAAACGTCACCTCTCTTCAAAACATCAAGGTTGGATACGTCAATATACGTCTCCTTTTCAGCTCGTTCAAATTAACACCGTGACCTCTATACAGAGTAATCGTTCCTTACAGTGAGTGAACTCTGTGTATACATTTGCGTAGATGGAGGCGGAGCCATGGTTGATATTTTTGTTTTCTTTAATTAATCTTTTTTAAACTTTGCATTCTGTTGGATTTTATTGTTATCAGTCTGAAACTGTCAGACGTCCCTTTGTTCTGTTGGTCACATCTGTATTGTTATTTTCTAGGAAAAGGCGCTGAAACTTCTTGGAAGCACGTGGAAGAGCAATCGGCAGCAAAACAAACGACACAAACGGGTAGGTCTGTTTTACAGTTTATACGATTTCAGACAAGTCATTCTAGTGTGCAATTAAACATATTTTACCTTTCGGCTTTAAACTTTATATATATTGTATAGTCAAGCACGTCGTTAAAATGCGAAATATATCTAACAAAATGGCAAGCATCTTTCGAAAGAGATGTACTCTCAATTTATGATGCTACAAACAGACATCATACAGAGGTAAACCCTCTAGTAGTTATTTACTGAATATATCTAATATCTCACAAAATCTTAATTTGAAATATATTTTCATGCCACAAACTATACATGCCATCATGTAAATATGTTATCATGTGTCTATACAAAACTGCATGCACAAAAGACAAAGCACTCTATGGGATATTTACAGTAAAAAATGTGTTTGTATAGCTATTTGAAACTGCCATGCAGCTTATATAATTAGTTCAATTCTGGTCATACAGAAACTGCAACATAGTGGGTTTTCAAACTATTTCGAAACTGATAAGCATAGTTCTTCGTTGCCTTATGTAGTATTAAAACTGCAGTGTATATATAAATATGTCGGTGACCTATAGCTACTGTCGTTCTCAGAGACCCATCCGGATGTCACGTGTTCGGGCAGTTATTGTACCAGAACCGGAACCCGACGTCACATTTCTCATGGTGGATAAAGACGACATGTAACGTGGAGGAAATCACTTCCGGTGACCGTGACCTTGACCTTCTTTTACCAGAGCAGTGAAAGACGGCTGCAGACAACGAACATATCAATTTTGTTTGTATCTATTCGTTTAATGGCAAACAAGAAAATCACTGTTATTATTGTGAACTGCTGATGGTGTAGGAGTGTGAAATACAGCACTAAATCGGCTAGAACTATGAAGAATCAAAACAAACGGTCTTTCTCACCTCATCAGTACCACAGGGACCTGAGATTTTAGCTATATCTGAACCTGAGCCGAGGTGTTCAGAGTAATATTACAGATTAAGATCAACTGTCGGCAAAAATGCCACCCCAATGATGTTAGGTAAAATACCAACATTGGAGTGGCATGTTTACCCAAAGTTGATATAAAATCTGTAATATTACTCTGAACACCTCGGGTTATATCCATATATATCCTCCGGTTCATGTGATCACAACCTCGAGCTGAAGGTTATCTGTAAACAACCCTGTGATATTCGATTCCACAGCTTGGTGTTAATCATAGCATGTCATGTATTATAAAGCTACATCTGTGATATTACCATTTACTATTTTTGTATACATTTGAATGTACAGAGTATCTGTTATTGAATTAAATAATGTCAATTAAAAATGTATCGTAGTGTTGGAGTTATTGCATTTATTAGAAAACAATAACATATTTGTATTATCTCGGTTTAGTCCCAGCCCTCTGTCTCCATGGGGTCTGGGATTAAGATTGTTCCTGGGATGATCTCGGTCAGCTGTAGTTAAAGTAACTAAACATAACATACAGAGAAAACTGTTCGTCAGTCTCTATACCATAGCGTTCAAATATCACACGTATACCTGTCACCAACAGCCCTTGTCCAATATGTAAGCGAAAAATTGGTTCTCAAAGAGAGGCATACCATTTTATTAGTTTAAATATCCCCACAATGTAAGCATGGTTTCTGCAAGGTTTACGTGCATACCACAGATTTGACGAGGGAGTGTTTGTTGGGGATATTGGAGAGCCGTTAAGGGCCGCATATCTCCCATAACAACACTGAGCAACAATCGTTGCGGATACCTCGATATTGTTGTATCAGATAGGGACTGTGTTTTTGAAATGTTTGTTATTGCATAAAGTTGGAAATTCTGGAAAATTATATCTCTAGATCTGCTGACAGTTAACTAAGTTCCTGACAAAGCATACTAAAATTAAACAAGAGGCTCAGAGGGCCTGTATCACTCACCTGGATAATAAAGCAACTATGAGAAAATATTCTGATCAGATATAATACTGCATTTATTTTCAAACATTGGCTCCGTCTCTCAGCAATACTCGCCCTCACCCTCACGTAGCTGTAAGCTAGTAAACAGGATTTTCATGCTCTCCTCTAGGTTAAATCGCATAGATTTGAATGTTTGCTTGTCCTGAAGTAAGGACCCAGGTAGGACAATAACCTACATGTAGACCTGTGAAATATGCATAATAGTAGAAACCTGTAACGTCTGTAAGACACGAATGATGTTTCCTCATACTTGACCTCTGACCTTAGCATAGACTTTTATGAATATAAGTTAAGTAATGAAGTCAGTCCAGCAGTCATGAGAATGGATTGGGACGAGGCGGGACATGACTATATAGCCCCCCCCCCCCCATCCCCGGAAATGTCCAGGTACACAACTAATAACAAACAAGAAAAGAACAGCTTTCTATCAAAATAGTTTATTCCTCAATGTGTTTGAGATTCACAGATGCATACAAATAAAGTTTGTAACTAAATTATACAGGTCTCGGTTTTTGGAATATTCCTCAACTGAAACTTGTTAAACGGGCCTGATAGTTTGGCAAGATTTTGAAGTGTACACAGAATATTACATATCATTAGAGACGTATATATTTCATACTGTATCATCAGAGACGTATATATTACATACTGTATCATCAGAGACGTATATATTACATACTGTATCATTAGAGACGTATATATTACATACTGTATCATTAGAGACGTATATATTACATACTGTATCACTAGAGACGTATATATTACATACTGTATCACTAGAGACGTATATATTACATACTGTATCACTAGAGACGTATATATTACATACTGTATCACTAGAGACGTATATATTACATACTGTATCACTAGAGACGTATATATTACATACTGTATCACTAGAGACGTATATATTACATACTGTATCACTAGAGACGTATATATTACATACTGTATCACTAGAGACGTATATATTACATACTGTATCACTAGAGACGTATATATTACATACTGTATCACTAGAGACGTATATATTACATACTGTATCACTAGAGACGTATATATTACATACTGTATCACTAGAGACGTATATATTACATACTGTATCACTAGAGACGTATATATTACATACTGTATCACTAGAGACGTATATATTACATACTGTATCACTAGAGACGTATATATTTCATACTGTATCATTAGAGACGTATATATTACATACTGTATCATTAGAGACGTATATATTACATACTGTATCATTAGAGACGTATATATTACATACTGTATCATTAGAGACGTATATATTACATACTGTATCATTAGAGACGTATATATTACATACTGTATCATTAGAGACGTATATATTACATACTGTATCATTAGAGACGTATATATTACATACTGTATCATTAGAGACGTATATATTACATACTGTATCATTAGAGACGTATATATTACATACTGTATCATTAGAGACGTATATATTACATACTGTATCATTAGAGACGTATATATTACATACTGTATCATTAGAGACGTATATATTACATACTGTATCATTAGAGACGTATATATTACATACTGTATCATTAGAGACGTATATATTACATACTGTATCATTAGAGACGTATATATTACATACTGTATCATTAGAGACGTATATATTACATACTGTATCATCAGAGACGTATATATTACATACTGTATCATTAGAGACGTATATATTACATACTGTATCATCAGAGACGTATATATTACATACTGTATCATTAGAGACGTATATATTTCATACTGTATCATTAGAGACGTATATATTACATACTGTATCATTAGAGACGTATATATTACATACTGTATCATTAGAGACGTATATATTACATACTGTATCATTAGAGACGTATATATTACATACTGTATCATTAGAGACGTATATATTACATACTGTATCATTAGAGACGTATATATTACATACTGTATCATTAGAGACGTATATATTACATACTGTATCATTAGAGACGTATATATTACATACTGTATCATTAGAGACGTATATATTACATACTGTATCATTAGAGACGTATATATTACATACTGTATCATTAGAGACGTATATATTACATACTGTATCATTAGAGACGTATATATTACATACTGTATCATTAGAGACGTATATATTACATACTGTATCATTAGAGACGTATATATTACATACTGTATCATTAGAGACGTATATATTACATACTGTATCATTAGAGACGTATATATTACATACTGTATCATCAGAGACGTATATATTACATACTGTATCATTAGAGACGTATATATTACATACTGTATCATTAGAGACGTATATATTACATACTGTATCATTAGAGACGTATATATTACATACTGTATCACTAGAGACGTATATATTACATACTGTATCACTAGAGACGTATATATTACATACTGTATCACTAGAGACGTATATATTACATACTGTATCACTAGAGACGTATATATTACATACTGTATCACTAGAGACGTATATATTACATACTGTATCACTAGAGACGTATATATTACATACTGTATCACTAGAGACGTATATATTACATACTGTATCACTAGAGACGTATATATTACATACTGTATCACTAGAGACGTATATATTACATACTGTATCACTAGAGACGTATATATTACATACTGTATCACTAGAGACGTATATATTACATACTGTATCACTAGAGACGTATATATTACATACTGTATCATCAGAGACGTATATATTACATACTGTATCATTAGAGACGTATATATTACATACTGTATCATCAGAGACGTATATATTACATACTGTATCATTAGAGACTTATATATTGCATACTGTATCATTAGAGACGTATATATTACCTCACTGATAACGACTTGCCTTATTTCAAGGACATTTGTCCATTACAAATTACAATCAGATATTAAGGATATATGCTACCTTACTATGATATGTACCTTCTATCCAGAAGAGTTTCACACTAAATAAAAGTGAATCACAGTAATTGATAATAGTCAGGTACATGTAATTCTTATAACTATTATATAATCAGAAACATTGCAGGGGAGGTAACTCTAACGTCAATGATAGGCATATATATAATGTCTGTTGGGTGTAGCATATACAACATGCAGCCTTAGACTGGGACATACAGTAGATCATATTATATACATAATATATAAGCAACTTTTCTTAGTGTAAATAGACTTAGATATACTCGTACAAAAATACATTTTCCAAATGTAAACTGGCAATGTTACATGTATGCACATAATACTTCTACATATAGTACACAGCACTAACTACTTTATGGTTTCCCTAACCCTTAAATAGACAACAAAGTAACCTTAAATAGTACACAGTACCCTTAAATAGTACAAAGTTCCCATTATTAGTACATGGTACCAATAAATAGTACAAAGTTCCCATTATTAGTACATGGTACCAATAAATAGAACACGGTACCTTTAATTAGTACATAGTGCCTTTAAATAGTATACAGTACCGTTAAATAGTACACAGTGCCTTTAAATAGTACACAGTACCCTTAAATAGTACACAGTGCCTTTAAATAGTACACAGTACCCTTAAATAGTACACAGTACCCTTAAATAGTACACAATACCTTTAAATAGTACACAGTTCCCTTAAATAGTACACAGTGCCTTTAAATAATACACAGTACCCTTAAATAGTAAAGTATGCCCTTAAATAGTACACTGTACCCTTAAATAGTACACGGTACCCTAAAATAGTACCAGATTCCCTTAAGTAGTACACATTACCTTTAATTGGTACACTGTA